GAATTTGTCTATATTAGTCACATTAATTCACACTGTTAAACACAAACACGATGTCAATATGGATGTCTTATGTTGTCAATTTCTTCATTTCTTAATCTACACAATTATTTCAACTTAAAATTTGGTTTACTTTTGAAAGAATAAATTCACTACTAATACAGCTCATCATTTTTTTATGTATTTTCCTATTCACATGATATTCTAGTAATTATTTGATTTATTTAGTTCTTGTAGATATTTTAAAATTTTGTCTTTGAAAAAGCTACTCTGGATAGGGCAAATTGTCATTTTTCTATGTGATTCTTGATAAGAGTTTTCTCTGAGAACTTGGCATGTTTTTCCCAATAAATTTCCTGGAATAATCTGTTCTCACAAATGTCATATTTTCCTTTGCAAAACTTTTTGAAATGTTTACCTTCTGAAAATATATTGAATTGAAATTTGTTTTTCAACTATGAGTACTATGTTCTGCTAGCGGTTTTCTTACTCGATAATTCTGACTCTTCGCATTTCAATGGATGAATTGAAAATTTGCAGTTTTCGGTAATAGCAATTTTTCCCTCTTCTATTTCCAACATGTGGTCCCCATTTAATTCCAATTCTGGCAATATAAACGCGATGCTTCCTGGTAATTGTTTTAATTGAATCACATGCACATTGTTTGGTATATTTTTCATTCTGATTTTACATATCTCATTCTCATCAGAATTAGACTGGAAAAAAATGTGAAGATACTGAAATACTTTTTGGACGGCCACCCAAATTCCATTAACCATCGGGATAACTTTATGTTTTATTTTTCTGTAGCATTGTCTTCCCGATAAAATTTTGTGTCTTACTTTCTGAAGGAATATAACACTCATTGTAGAAAAAGATTTATGTTCTCGTAAAACGAATGTTGTATTGTCACTGTTTTGGAGATCTATATTATTTTTTAAACATGTTTGTGAATTGATGCTATGTTGGATTCTTTTGTGTTTCTCTTCGATTTTCAAGTGATGATAGCGACGTCTTGCGTATGAGTAATTCCACCATCTCGCTCTCTGCCGTTCTTGAAGTTGCAAATCAACAATTTTCTGCTCCACATCATATTCTGACGGCTCAACTTTGCCTTTCAAGTTCATGCATTCAATGTGCGACTAAATACTTCTACGATTTTTGTTCAATTTGAGAGTGAAATCTAAGAATTAAAGTTACAATTTTATGTTATTATTAAAGCGTTGCCATGGAAATTACGTGATGTCATGTACTTCGTACAACGTGCTAACTGGTGCTAACAGGGCGCAGCACTGGCCACGCTGACGTCATACAGATGTGCAGAACGTGTGACTTTTAGAGCTTCTGAAAGTAGCACCTTCGCACACCATTGCCTCTGGGTAGCAAATGGCAGATTCTGGATGACGCAAACCAGTGGCGTACGTTCAACAGAGGACCTTGGACGGACAATATGGGGGCCCATATTTAAAGACATCATTAATATTTAATTTTGTGATTATAAATTGAATTTTAGAAGTGAAAACATATATTACAATAAACTATTAGAGAAAATAAATTACCACTTTTGCATTTTCATAATATAAATTAAAATTTTAACGTTGGTCTTTTCTTCGCATTTACAAATTTGTCAATGACAATAGAAATATTGTTTTTCAACCTGATTGATTTTTTCATGCTCAACTGATGAAATATTGAAATTATTCAGTCTTGTGCTATTTGTTGTATTTCGTAAATATATTTTAATCAGCTTTCATTTTGAAAACGTTCTTTCGGCTCTGACGAGCGTGGCAGGAAGTGTCAAAAATGTCATGTCATTACTGTACACACATCGAGAAAACCTGTTAATAGTGAGCAACGTTTAGTTATTAATACTTCGTAAGTACTTTAACAAATCTGAGTTATGAAATTTGACTTTTTTAACAAAGGCGCAAAGATAATATCTGAGACAACACGTTTACTGTCATGTTACATCTAGTGGGTGTTTTGATTGACGTTTTTGTGCTTCTTCCTAATTTCATCGTTCGAAAGAGCTATCAAAACTTGTGGCTGAATCACTTTTAAAATTGCCACTGTTTTTATAATCCAACAAATCGTCGCTCCAACTGGTTAATGGGAATATCTAGGTATCCATAGTAAATATTATGTTTGTATTTTTCTTTGCCATCGATGAGTCCTGGGTCCCAGTAAAGTTCGACAAAATATCGTAGTTTTCTTCACTCGTTTATCGTTAAATTACACTTCTACGTTCCAGACTGGATAATTCTATTGCACCATTTTCAAATCATCATAGTGCTTCCAAACAGTCTTCAATTCTTCTGAAGCTGTATGAGTATTCTGAGCCGTTTGAATATCCAAATCAGGGCTTTGAAGGTATTTCGAAACTCTGTTGGTTATAATAATAATAATAATAATAATAATAATAATAATAATAATAATAATAATAATAATAATAATTATTATTATTATTATTATTATTAAGTCACATTTACAATTACAATTGTGTATGACGAATAAACAACCATCGATTCATCACAAGACAAATGTTTATTACAAAACTGGTGATACAAATCAGATTCAAACAATTCACTGTAAAAGAGACTCATATTAGTTTTGGGGATAATTATTGTTAATTAAAATATTAATAGTACATTTAAAAATGTGTATTAGGTAAATTAACCTAATTTTCAGGCATTCCACCAAATGAAATTTTATAGTGGCTGTTAAAATGCTAAAAATATCACGAAATGTTAGTGTTATTACTGCCTCGTCCAAATTAAAAATCTCGACTCCGCCACGTTTTGCCTCGATTTTTAACTATTGACCTTGCAGTAGTAACACTCATTACACTTCTAGGTAAGATAATAGCTATAAATACTTATTTCCAAAAATTTCACTTGGAATATAATTCTTTCTTAGTACTACAGAAATTTTACCTTCATTTATCTATTATTTGGACATCATAGTATACAACGTATTTTATCTGATTGGGATAAGAACATGTGAATTTTGTGAAAAAAGCGGGAATTAATTAAACGGGAATTTTATTGTTATTTTAATTTGTTATCCTTCCTTTGTTTATCTGACAAAAATGAATTGATTTAAGTCTTTATATTTGCGTAATAATGACTCTGTAATCATAAAAATCTCATAGTACCACTTGTTTATATAATTTAAAATTTTTATTGAATATGTTTATTATTTACCAAAAATCAAAGATCTGCCTCCAGTGTATTCGCCCCTGGGGGGTAGTAATGCTAGTAAGTAATAAGTAGTGACTTCCTTTCAAGAACAAAGGGATCACCTAAACGGTCCTGTAAATGTAGTACAATGATTTATCTCGGGATGCGGCTGTCATTTTCCCCTAGAGGATGGTGAGATTTGGAGCCAACCTACCCGTCGACTTGCAAGTTTTCCCCCCTAGACAGGTATCTCCCACCAGTGGAGGAAAAACGCAGACGGGAGAGAGGCATGTGTATTGTGCGATTTTTATAACTGTGCACCTCAAGGCCCGTCTTCATGGTGGCATTATGTAACTACATTTCGCACCTTTCTCGGCCGTGCCACTAGATGTCAAGACCGTATTAACATAGATTAACACCAGATATTCATCCATGGTAGCAAGCTGTGCTTGGTACAATCGCGACCATGCGACATGTAGCGGCAAGACTGAGGAAAACGGGAAATGTAGTGACATAATGCCACCATGGAGACGAGCCTTTAGGCGCACTGTTATAAAATCGCACTATAGTGTACTTGGGTTTATATTTTTTGGAGCGTGAGGGCTTGTCTTCACAAGGGAATATCTCACGGCATTTCGCGTCTTTCTCGGACGTGCCACTAGATGACGTATGATTGCAACCGCATCGAGCAGTGCTGCCGAACATGCGACATCTAACAGGTCTAGCAACATGACCACGTAAGACGCGAAATGCCGTGGGATATTCCATCGTGAAGTCAGGTCCTCACACGACCAGAAATAAAAACCCAAGTATAATATAGTGCATGTAAGTGTGTGTATTAAGTGCGCAGTAAGTAAGGGGTGAGAATAGACAAGGATGAGGATGGAAAGATCGCGCGCGGCCAGTTTATTAGAGTGCTGCTCCAGCATTCGCCTGGTGTTGATCGGAGAAACCACGGAAATCTACCGATCAGAGCAGCCGGCCGCTAGACTTCTCCAAACAGCGGCTTTCGACCTTGCTAGGTTAATGTCCGAATCCTCTGGATAGCTAAACGTTAAACCCATTTCGAACTTAATCTGTACCAAATATACAGATCGAAGAATGGATAGCCAGAAGACACATCAATAGCTTGCAAATCATTGGCTATACCACGGTGTAAGAAATATACTTTCATTAAGAAAGTATTATATCTTGCACTGTGGCTATACGTTCATTATAGCATGTTATATTAACAATATAATGAGAACACTAAGCCGCGACAGCTGATTGCCACATCTACTACCTGTCCACAAGCTGATTCACACCGCTCTGAATGATATACACATATTATTATACATACATATTATCTGATTGTAATAGTCATTGTGTCGTCATATTAAGCATAGAATAAAGAAACAATCATAAATTACAACCGTTTTAAATTGTCATCACAGAAGTTAGGAGTGGAAGACAACATAAGATGAAATCTATTAACGAAAGAGCAATAAAATATTTTAGAAAACACAATGACTATTTATATTTTTTGGTCATGTCAACACACTAATAAATAAGCGCGATGTACATATTTAAGTAGTTATGACAGGAAATGTAATATCATTGCTGTATCAATGAGACCAATGACACGTAGATCCTCTACCAAACGGGCACCATTGATAATGGAACAACACTCTTTACACTGAGGGAGTGTCTACCTTAGATTAACACATTCATCCATGTGCCTATTTCCACTTTTGATGACGTTGTTTTGTTATTTGTAAATTCATTGTATTTTCACTTCGAAATTCTGTGCAATGACAATTCAAGTGTTCTATATTTTATCTCTTTATTCCATGTGTAATATGGCGACGTGCTGACTGATACAATTCTGTCATCGTGGAACAGTGTTTGAATTATTGTAAAAAGCAAGTCATAGCTGAGTGTCATTAGTGATGTAATATGCTGTGTATTTTGCGTGTCAGTGAGTTGAAAACGTGGGGTTTATGAGACAGTTCTTGGATTTGAGTGTGGAGTTAACCATGGATAGGGAAACTCGTTCTTCAATATTGGGGTTTAAACCCCAGAAAGAGATAGTATACAATAAATTATTACCATACGCTCAACAATTGGATGATCAATCTCAGCGTATGCTGTTAGAAATTAAGACAAATCTTGGTCTCTCTGTGATGATGCGTGAAATGAGACCTGGTTGTGGAATGTGGACTGCTAGACTGAAGCAGTAAGTACATTTTTACTTTGATGGAGAATATTGTTGATCATTGCTGGGTGTAATGTGTCATTTAGTGCCCTAATTTTTGTGAATGTATTATGTCCCGAAAATATGTAACCTGAGATTTTTACATGGCGTGTGTGTTTCTCTATCTATTTGTTAAATTAGTTTCGTGTAATGTATTTTCTTTTTTGTGTGTGTGAATGCCGAGCCATTTGATAATTTCAGAAAAGAGATGTTATTTCATATTTTTGGAGAATTGAAATTTGATTACTGAATAATTCATGCGTTAGTGGTAGATATATTAGGTATAACATTGACTTTGTATTTTAACTTACTTATTGCCTATTAGAGGCTTATCATTTTCACTGAGAAGTCATCAATATCAAACCTTGGCTTGGATGCAAGTCAAAGGTAAATTTTTGTGCATCTTATAGTGTGAATATGAGAACCAGGCTTTGTTATTTAGATATCAGTCTATTAAACTGTCACACATTTTAAGTTGATAGGCGAGATGTCAGTTTTTTTATTTTTAATTTTTTGTTGGGAAAAGTTAAGAAATATGTGTAAAGTTAGCCAAGATTATGGAATCCAGTTATATAAATAAACAATATTAAAAAATGCATAGTAAATTTGTGATTACAGTAATTAAGGAATGGGCATTAATTGAAAACTTTCTGTAATAGTGCTCAAACAATAAGTATATATCTATTTGAGTCTTACTCTATGTAGTGTTCTGACCAAACCATTTTTGTGAAATAATTTCATTTATTATACATCAGTAACTAATGGGTCAAAAGCGTGAAATATTAAGAATAACATGCTACTTTGGGTAAAGCATATCTACTTATGATTGATGGAAGGAATATGTAATCTGAAGCATCTACATTTCTCTAGGAAAAGTGATAGATTTTGAAAATAATTAATGAATTCTATTTTAATATTCTTTTGAATTTTTTCTGAACATAGTTGAATTTCATTGGTATGAAATACAAAATTGATAGTTATTTATAATGAATGGCATAAAAAATGTATTAGCTTATTTATAAATAATGATTTAAAATTTTTTTGTTGAAGTTACATAATTTTGTCTCTAGATTGTCTGAAAAATTAATTTCTTAATTTTTGCAGGTATATTAAGTTATATGGATTAAAATTTTCAAAAGAAGATCATTTACGTTTTATTCATTTGATGTATGAACTTGTTACCATTCCAAATTTAGAACCGTATCTTGTTAGCAAATTTGGACATGTTTTGGTTACTCTTCTAAAGTAAGTATTTATTGTGAAGTTTTTGCTTGATTGGAATAGAAGAAATTGTATGGAGATGTAAAATTAGATTTTTGTGATGGAGAATTTAGAAACGAGTATTTGTTTGTTTTAGATCTCTAATACAGTTTGTAGATAAGAACTTGTAATATCTTTCTGATGTTGCTGGAAAATGAGTTAATTTAGTAATACCTATAAAAAAATTATAAATCTATTAATTATGCTGTGAATTTGATTTTTTTTGTCTTTATAAATATTTTTTGAAATGTAGCACTAGTTTGAAGTGTCTTTAACAGTTTTTTTAAATGTGCCACATGTGAAATATTTAGCAAAAAATTAATTTCAAGTCTTTATATTTGCATTTATATGGCAATGGCCTTTTTATTCAGTATAAGTATTATAAGTTAAAATATTGTATTTAGTTTGTGAAGTGAATCTAATGTTTTTACAGAAAGAAAGAGCTAATTTCTCCTGAGGAACTTGTTTTACCATGGAGGCCATTGTACGAGTTGTGTAAAAGAATTTTTTCCAGTAGTCGTGGTGCTATTGGAATGTATCGTTATTTTTCGTAAGTAATGTTCTCTTACCTCTAATATGCTTTAGTGTAGATTCAGAAGTACAGTTTCTACTTACCATGCACATTTACATTAATATGGATTTCATACAACTATATTGAAAAATCAGTAGTATTGTGAACGATGTGGAGAGACAGGTTACTTCTGTAGTTTTAGAAGAACATAACAAAGTTTTAAGCTAAGATTTTAAATGTAAATACCAGCCTATGACTAATTATTGTTAAAAAAAACAAAGGTCAGATATTTCTGATAATAAAGGCCTTCAGGGAATCAAAATAATAGTCATTACTTTGAGCATTTACATCTTGTACTTCAATCTATATTACTATTCTCTTTCCTCGTAATTATCACGGTAAAGTTTTCCAGGACTATAATGATTATATTGATCAAGTCTGCAATGGTAAAAGATACCATCATCATTTTGGGATGGTGTTCTGGTAAGTGTAGTCAAGTCATTTATGGTGACAATGGAATTATGTTGCTTTCAGAGTTATAAGAGATAAAATTTACTTTCTACTTGTGAAATCTTCTATGTAGGAAATTTAGTTTTTTAAAAGTATTATGTGAATTACAAGATCGGTCTGATCTTTTATTTCTCTTTTTCAACAAACTCATTTTGATAACTCCCTCTACCACCATTGAATTTTTCTTTTTTATGCAATAAATATTGTTATAATTTAATTGTTTTGTGGAAGAATTGTATTTTATTGTGCAAAACATGTAACTTTCAGTATTTGCAATTTTGTATGTATTTGCAGATGGAAAATATTTTTTTCAATTTTGATTTTTAGCTTTTATTAGAGTGTGAAATTGTGCTTTTTTATGCTACCTCATCTCCTCTTCTGTTCTGCCATTTTCTTTTAATGTTGTTAGAAAAGAGTTTTTGTGAATATCTTTGATGTGTAGTATTTTTTTAAAATTTATTTAAACATGGAAGGTTTTCCAAAATGACTGGACCATTGAGTCATTATAATTTTTATTTCCATATGATTCTAAAGTAGGTGTGGAACATAAGATCCAAAACATTGGTTAGATGTGGGGTGAGAAATAATTACCATTGGTCACCTCTGAATAAGGCTATTGTACAAATTAGGATGTAGTAGGTGTCCTGCTGTCTTGGGTAGTTGAGGTGGTTGAACGTTCTGTAGTGTATGCATATCACAATAATTTTAAGAATAATTTCTAGACAGGCAATGAAATCAGATAAATATTTACATTAAAATTTTATTAAAAAACCTGGTAGTAATCAAATAATCATCATCAAATACATTTAAGGTGTAGTTCTGTTGACCTGTTCCTTGGTTTATTAATATTCTCTGTCGCTTGTGAGTTGTTCTTGATTTTCCCAGTGCATTCTTGGTCTGCCAGGTTTTCTTCTTGTATTGGAGGACTTTTCTCGGAAAATGTTCTATGATCATTCTTTTGGTGTGTTCTTGCAGTTTTTTTTGGGTAGATTTCAATTTCTGAGACAATATTTTTAATTTAAGTGTTTTTCATATCTTCATTTCTTATTCTGTCTTTCCTTAAAATTTGTTGTTGTGTCAAATGTAATGTATCAGATGTAAAAGTCACTACTTTTCAGGAATCTCAATTAATTCATTTCAACAAATCAATAAGATCTGAATTGACACTTTGAACAATGATATATATTAACCAAGTGTCTTGATGTGTATCAGTGTGCACATGTAATCTGCAGCCCTTGTCTCAGTTTCACAAATACAAATAGTCAAATCCATTGACTTTTGTAAATTTCAATGGCTGAATGTATGGTAAATGATTCTAGGACAAATTACTGTTCATGTGATCCATTAAATGGTTCAAAAATTAATTATGTCCATGTCACCCAATAAAGAAAACAACTGTTCTTTCCCATAGTTTTGAAAAATAGTAGTATTATTATGTTACTAGTGAAAGAGATGATAAAATTAATATGTATGTTCTCTCTCTGCATTTTTTGCACCATTTAAATTTTTTTGCAGATCTCTGGAAATAACTTTGGATTCTTTAGTCCATGCTGCTCGTTAGTAAGTATTCTACTTCCACTTTATACAATGATTCATTGTAAATTAAAAGCGTACCCATTGTAGTGCGGTATCAAATATTGTTATAAAACTGATTATACTTTTTATGGTTTAATGTAATAAAAGTTCTGTTTTGTAACCTAGTTATTTTCCTGCATCTGCAACTGAAGAGATGTTGAATGAATGGAGACCCTTGTTGTGTCCATTTGACAATACGAAAATTGTCAGTACAATTGAAACATTGGAATGGTTTCTGCCGATTGCCTTACCACCATCACGTAGTGATAAGGGATATAAACTTTGGTTTAATGACTTCATGAATCTTTGGGATGTCTGTAACAATACACCAAGCTGGGAAGCTGTGAGTAAATTTCTTAAAAGAATTTTAAATTTTTGTCAGAATGAATTTGAAGATGTCCGAAATCCATGCATTTGAATGCTGTGTTCATGAGCTTAATGTATTACGTAATCTTTTTAAGATTGATGTAGCTTTAATATTGAAATTCTGTGGTATGTTTGTTTTATTGAACACCTTTTATTACTGAATATGTGCTTTTCTTATGAAGGATATGATGTGGTTGATGGCTCGCCTCGCCCGCTGCAATATTGGTTACATTGATTGGGAGCCATATGTTCCTCTTATTTTCACTAGACTTCTGCGAAGTCTCAATCTGCCAGTATCCTACAAACAGATTCATAATTCCAAAAATCACAAATTGGAAACTGCAGCAATGGCTTTGTGGATTGTGTCAGTTCTGGTTTGTATTCTTGCATTAATTCTTTATCTATAATACCAGTTTTATGTAAACTATAAATGTTCCAAGTGTTGTCAACAATTTCAATCCCAAACTCTTATTAAGAGACAATTGTAGGGTATTATTGGGAACCTTTGATTTTAGTCTTAGATAATTTGTTGTGTTGGATGTAAGTTACCAAAGAAAAGAAAATAATAAACATCATAGTGATTTCTGAATGTCAATATGATTTTTGTATTCATTAATCTTTGTAAACAGAAATTGAATAATGAATATTTTTCATTGTATTGAAAATGATAGTGTACTTAAATGATATAAGTCAATAAACGTAACAACTTATATGTGGAATGTGTGTTTCCTATTTAAAGAAAAGATTCTCATTTTTAATACTGTCAATTATTCATTAGTTAATTGTAAAGCATATTTGTATATGAGGACCTTAAGATATGTATGTTTTTCCTTGTGTGTGGAACATGATTATAATGGCAAATTCTCTATAATAGTAAGTTCTTCATTATTTCATGGTGACTGATTAAATGAAGTAAAAGTTTCATGATACTTGTGTCCGATGCCTCAGAGATATGATACAGAAGAATAAATTAATATAGAAATTACAATGATTGCTTAAAAAAAAAGTTTTAAATAATATCATGTCATTCCAGAATTAAAAAGTACCTAAAATATTAATCATTAATCTTTTTTAAATATATGGGTTAATCTTTTTGGTATACAATTTTAAGGAATTGGAAATTAATCCGTTCAAATCATAATGAATTAATGTGTGTAGCAGTAAATTTTATTTTGTTTTCAGGGAGGTGGTAGCAGTGCTCAGAAGCATTTGGATAAATTCATGATGACTTTAGAATCCTATTTCCATCCCGCAAACTTTGGCAGATGGGTGTTGAAGCTATCAGAACTTCTCAGCAAACTTCCTCTCTACTTTGTTCAACGTCTTAATTTGTAAGATTGTGCCTTAAGTAATGTATTTATGGTGTAAATACAGTTTGTATTAAATTAAAATTAAATTATACTCTCAGTGAAAGATACAAGAAACTGACATGGGAGACACCAGTACCAGAGTCACACAAGTTAACAGAAGATGACATAACCAGATTTGTGTTGTCAGTCAAGCCAGTGGCTATGCAGGCTATGTTCTCTAAAATGGGCTTGGAAGTGAGTCAAGCCATGCAGCATCTCGCAACACTAAGGCCTCAGTTGATTATACCTGAAATTGTTGAAAGGTAAGTGCAAAAACAAAATTTACTACAATATTTTGTTATTTTGCTTATGTTTTGATTGTGTTTTTCTTCATATTATGCAGTGTGTATGCTAACCTGGAAACTGTTGTTCAGCCCCATAAATTTCAAGCAGCTCTACAGTGTTTAATAGCAGTTATTCGACCGATGGCTGAAGGTGGTCGAACAGACTTCAAAGAGGGCCCTACCCATGTCATTCCAATGCTCTTGTCCGTGTTGCCTGGCATTGATCCAAATGACATAAGAAAATGTTTTGTGTCACTACATTTTATATCTACAGTGGCTAACATGGTTCCTATCATTGATTGCTCTAAAGCTTCTGAGTACCACAGTAATTTGACAGAAGTAAGTAAAATAGTCTGTAAGTGCATTTCTAAGTTCATTGTAATAAAATAAAATATCATACACTTTCCATTGTTTTCTTTTTGGGATTTCAGATGTTATTAATTTGAAATTTTTTTTCTCAATAATTATTCAGAGTTACTGAGATGTAGAATTTGGAGATATCAATGTGTATGATTATTTCCTTCAATATATGAATGATTAGATTAGATTAGATTAGATTAGATTAGATTAGATTAGATTAGATTTATTAATAATTCTGCAATAAGTGTCGAACTTGTGCAGATTCACTAACTTAACATTACAGAACTTAACAACTAATACAAACTCTAACAAACGTTACAATTCCAAGGGGGGGGGGACATTTCACGTTCACCTTCTTCATAAAACTCCACTTCACCAACATTCACCCGATGCGTCATACAGCGAGCTGTAATGTTTTCCTTACATCACCTCGTTTCTCTCAGTTCCACGTCACTGCACTTCACGCACACTGCACTGCACTAAAATAATAATAATAATATCAATAATAATATATAATTAACAATATAATAATAAAATGAACTAATAACCATAGTAATAATAATATAACAATTGATAAATTAATAATAATAATAACAATACATAATAATAATAACATAAATAATGAATAATCTAATAATGACAATAACATTATAATAAATCATATAACAACAATAATAATACGTTAATTACAAAGTAGACATAGTAATTCGCGACTGACATTTTCTATTAATATCATTATAACAGTATCTACATTCAAAAAACTAATTTATTTTTAAATTGCTCAGGCTTTGAGGAATGGGATCGAAAAGTTTCACGGCAAACTGCTTCCCATCCTCATTAGCTGCGATTCCGAATGATATTTCCCAACGTCGCGTTTTCTGAATCTCTGTCTGATTCTGTGCATGTGATCGCCTGCCGAAATTTGTAGGTTTCCCTAATCTGATTGAAATTCTTCCAACGCTCGAAGGCTGTGTACGCTTTATACATTGCATAGAGACGTGACTTTAATCTCCTCCTTTCGAGTGATCCATACCCTTATTTGGTACCCCTGAAAGTAAATTTGATGCTTACTCTGGACATTTTCATATCTTTTTTGTTGCAAAATTCTGTATGGGTCCCCAACATAAACGCCGCCATATCTAATATAGTCGCACTATGACATATATGCTATGTTCTTTGCTCTCAATGACTCTTTTCCAGTATCCGCATAACAAATGTAAAGCTTTTCCAGGCTTTCCCTACAACGAAATTGACTTGATTTTTCCCAGCTCATTTACTGTCTAGCTTGTATTCCTAAGTATTTGCAAGACCTGACTCGAGGTTAACATTATTGTTAGCTTTTAAAAATTCATCGTGTACTTCGACCCCTACCAAACGGATGACTTGCTCTTTGAACTGTTTCTTTCATGCTCGTTTGTTTCTGCCCAGATATAATTTGTTAAGTCTCGCTGCAAATATCTCGTCTTTATCCCCGAGTTTGATAATCATAGATACTCGCATTCAATCTTTGCAAAGATCCCGTACATTTTGAAGGTAAATTAAGTCCCGGCAATCATTCACCGAAGCCAGAAACATGAGTGGTCGATAAACTTCCTTGTGGAATTCTCTGACTGTACGCTTCTCCGAGGTTTGATAAATAAACCTACCATTCGAACTTTCTATGTTTCTGTTGAGTATTCGTTTATCCACGCTATCCACTCTAGTTGTTCTATACCCGAATGCTATTAATTTCTTTATAAGACGATCAGTGTGAACAAACATCAAAAGCTTTGGAAAAACTATATATCGCACGGACCCTTTTCCCTTATCAACTACGTCGGTAGTCCTTAGAGGTGAGACTAAGCTGACTTTGCATGAGAAAACCATTTTGAAACCGTGCTACCCTGTAAAGCACCTCTCTGCCTCCAGTCTTCTGAATATAGCTTGAAATTAGATGTTCCATAAGTTTGCTAGACTGATGTTAGGTTACGGCATATAGTTACTAATTATTGTCTTAGTGCCACTTTTAAAAATTGTAATACGAGAGCCAGCTTCCAATCTTTCGGTACGCAAGCGTTGTTAATTGATACTTAAATAACCTAATTAAATAAGGTAAATTGGCTTCCGCCTAATTTAATATGTCCGTGGAAAATACCATCCAGGACTCAGTATTTTCCTCTCTTCATTAATTTATTCTTTTCTCCCAAAGTATTTACATCAATATGAAAACTAACATTAATTACCAGCGTTGGTATCTGAATACTGTTAATTTTGCTGAAAACGAGCTAAATATGCCGTTAAAACCTGGCGCTTTTTCCTGTGGTCCTTATGGCATTATAACACGAACAACTGGAATCTCATCTTTACATTTCTTTCCATCTACGAACGTATATTAAAAAATACCGACCAATTATTCTGCCTGCCGGCATAAGAATATGTTTAAATGAGTTCCTCTTGCATTTTTCGTTCCTTCCCTAATACTTTTGAATAATTTCGAAATAATGTATCATGATTTCACTACGGTGTTTGGTTTTAAATGCCCCCTGTTTTTCTTTTCCATGCCTAATTTTGCATTATATAGTACGGGATCCTGTTATTTTTAGCAATTTACTGGTACAGCGAAAGACTCCTCAGCATTTTTAAATTATATATTTTTAAACTCTTCCCATATTTCATCGATTTTCTCCTACTAAGAACTGCCATATCGTTCTCTTAAGTAATTAGAAACCTTTGTACCAGTTCGTTTTCTTTGTATTCACTCACTAGAAATAATGGTTATACTTTCTTTGAAATATTTAACTGTAAATGATAAAACAGTTTATGCAACTTATGCTTCTAAAATGGTCGCACGACAAGAATAAATCTTTTCGGTCTAATAAATGGCAGATATCCAGAATCGCATCCTGCGTGTCAGGCTGTCTACTACCATGCTCTAATCCCTGTCCAGACAAGTCGTTGACTAGTTGTTGGACTTTCCCTTGCAAACACTTCCTTCCATTTGCGCTGGGAGATTTAATCTCTAGCAATAACTCATGACGGTTATTTATATCTTTTTGTTCTCTCGTTAGAGAGAGCGCCTAAAATTTCATAGCTTTGCCCGTGGACGATAGCTAGCAATTAATTTAAGATACTTCCTGAACAGAAAATTTCATACACCCGTCATTTTAAATTCATTATCATACCAATTTATCTGATATTAAATGTTGTTTTCACGCATAATAAATACACCACCGCCTCTATTTCGCATCTCTTCCAAACGTATATGTAGTCTGAACGAAAAATTTCCGGTTTGCTACCTCGCCGAAAGCAAGACTCTGTCTATTATGACACAGGTCACATGCTTCAATTAAATACAAAATCCCGATCCCTTATTCGTATACTACGCAGTTCACCTCAAACAATGTTACGAAGCCTACTCCTCACCTGAATGTCAGTGTTCGGACGCATGCATCCATCCTAGATTCGCGTCAGGTCCTTCCCCCGAGAGCCACCACCCGTGTCTCAGTCACCTCCCCCGAGCCGTCAGATCGTCGTCGCTCCGTCACCGTCCCCCGCAGCAGTCAGATGCTCGCCCTTTCGTCACCTCCCCGGCAGCAGTCAGATCGTGCCTTTGTCACCTCCCCCGCACAGTCCAGATGCGTTGCCTTGTCACCTCCCCCGCAAGCAAGTCAGATGCGTTGCTTGTCACATCCCTCGCAGCAGTCAGATGCGTCCCTCTGTCACCTCCTCGTCAGAGTCAAGCGTCGCTTCGTACGTCCCCGCAGCATCAAATGCGTCGCCTTCGTCACCTCCCCCGCAGCATTCAGATGGGCGATGCCTCCGTCACCTCCCCGCCAGCATCAGATGCGTCGCCCTTGTCACCTCCCCGCAGCAGATCAAGATGCTTGCCTTTGTCATCCTCCCGCAGAGTCAGATGCTTGCCTTTTCACCTCCCCGCAGCCACATCAGATGCTTGCCCTTTTTCACCCCCCTCGCAGCAGTCAGATGCGTTCAGCCTTCGTCACCTCCCTCGAGCAGTCAATTGCGTCGCCTCTCGTCGCCTCCCCGCAGCAGTCAGATGCGTCGCCTCCGTCACTCCCGCCAACAGCCAGTCAGATGCGTCGCCTCCTTCACCTCCCCCCCACAGCAGTCACCAAAACGCATGGCTCCCTTTTAGCAACCATTCACTGGCCTTGCGACAAATTGCCTCTTCCTCCACCTCTCATTTTCCACGTAAATATGACCCGTAATACTTGGTCGTAAGACATCCCAACTTCCATGCACCTCTGAATTGAGATGAGGCTGTCCCGTCCTAGTCTTCGTGCCCGAACAGGATTGGGAATCAACAACACATCAAATTTCTACAGCCCATAATAATCCAAATTCACCGTTCCGTATTCTACTAAGTGCGACATCATTTACGCACATAACTCCCGGAAACAATACCTTGCATTTTAAATTTAGCTCGGATGCATGCCCTAGTTCGACCATATGTTACTGGTCGTAAACAGGGTCGTTTCCGCGATTGGTTCCTACATAATCTAAACCACTTCTGCCATGTTCATTTGATTCGATTGATTCACTAACCGAAGTCATTTGGTGGCAATATCTACTCCGGAAAGAAAGACCACTCAGCCACCTTTTTTATTTTCAATACGCCGCCGCTGTGCCGCAGCATCAAGTCTCCTAGCACCTTCACCTTACTATATGGCGCATCTGGCTGAAGAGACTTGCTCCTATTTGGCTGCTCGTTCCTCCTCCCTTTTTCTTGTGGGACGCGAACATTTTGCTCTTCCTTTCCTTTGCTGACGTCGTCTAAGTCCCTGATTCTTAATGTCAGTTCTCCAATATGACTGTGGGCCTGTGCCAAATCCGCTTCCAATCTTCTAATTCTTCGCTCATTCCTATCACATTTGGAGCACGTCACCTCTGCCTCCTGTACACCGGGACCAGGATTTTGTTCCACTCCTCCTATCACAAGGAGAGTGGCCAAAACAGCTGCACAAAGTAGAGCCACGCCGTCTCCTCCCGCAAGCCCGAGAACGCCCCTTGCGCCGAAGCCACCCGACCGGGGCGGGCGCGCGCAGCCCATGCCCCAACGCGCGCTCGGTACACAGCAAGATCCACGCCCATTGCCTTTCACTTCGCGGAGCTCCTCGAAAGACGTCCACACGCGGCGACTACCTGCGAGCGACTGTGATTATGAACTGAAGGGTATTGGTTCTGATTACAAAACATTAAAGTTAATGCACTTGTGCGTTAACTTCAATTTGTGTGAGGTATACATATAGATTTGCTACTTTGTTCTTTTGGTTGTACCTTAATTGATCACAAACCTGAGAAAGATGTTTAATGTTTTAACAAGTTGTATTAAATTGTAATGTATTTATCCGCATACTTGCCACAAAAGCTGAATTGTTTCATTGGCTTTGAATCAAGTATTGTAATCTGTCTATTTAACACAACATTACAGAAAACTTCTGTGTGCATGTTAAAACTGACCTGTAAGAGACTTGTTTCTAAGCATTGTCATTGATATGACTACAATCATTTTTGTTTTTACATATACAGTGAAATGTGTGTCTATCTGATCAATAACATTTATCTTCCTGGGTTTTCAATTTCCCAGTAGGATTGTGGGGTTCTGAATGAAATTCCGCATAGTTAACATTATTTCTGCATGTATGGTTTCTTTTGCATTTGCTATTTATTTTACTATGTCATTTCTGTGAGATGTCATGTAATATTTCTCAATAAATCATTAATAAACAATGTATTAATAACGATCTAATAGAGGTATAAGCTTTATTCTACAATTGGGTCAATTTTGCCAGGTGGCAGAATTCAGAAAATATAAGTACAATTACAAACACAAAACTTATCTTTGTCATTACCTAGCATATGTAATGGCATTTACATACATACATACATACATACATACATACATACATACATACATACATACATACATACATACATACACACATACATACTGATGATACATACACAACTGAAAATACATATATACTAACATTTAGATAAATAAATGTATATATTACACAAGTATACATACATACAAACGTACTTGCATACATATACTCACAGACCTAGGAACACTCACATGCACACAAGCCTGCGCCTATTCACTCATAATCATATTCATGGATAAACATTTTTACCTAATGCCACAATATAGTAATATACCATTCTTATAATAATTATTACGCTTGTAACACAAACACTTGATACCATAAATCAATACATACAAATAGCCTAAAAAAAGAAGTTTAAGTTAAGCGAAGCAAAGAAAAAGAAAATAAATCTATACTAAGTATTGAATACTTGCATTGTCATGCCTGTGAACTAAAAAATATTTTTCTTGTAGGCTTATCACAATGTTTTTCATGTATATTGTAAAAGAACTGTGTCAGAAACAGCATTACTGGAACTTCTACCTGTCAAATGACAAGCAAATAAAAACAATAAATTATTAAGATCATGACAGTGATAGTTGACAGTGACAGTAATAGCTGATGATAATAGTTAGATTTTTGAAACCCAATGAATTACCGTTGTTATTGAGTGACATTGAAATTTGCAAGAATTGTATGTAGCATTTGCATGAAATAATTGACATATTTGTGGATGGTTTCATGTGTGTATCATTTCCCACATTTGTCTTTTCTATATATTTTAAAAACTATAGAGAATTCTAGTTAAACAGCTTACAAGCATCTTTCTTCTCTGAATTTCTGCTTATGTAACCATGGAATAAATGATAACCATGTACAGTATAGAATGCCCATGTAAGTGAAAAATCAACAACTACAAGAACTGTTAATAGTTGGTAGCATTTGGTGTGCTAACTATGGGATTGTTTGCAAAAAGCAGTTTTGACCATTGTGTGTGTGATTGGGCATGAAGGAACAAAAAGTGTATTACTAATAATGTCGATAAAAATTTGACAATAGTTTCTAAAGACAACAACACGCTGTGTGCCAAAAGTGTATTACTTTTAACACCAACCTTCAAGAGAAATTCCGAATCAGTATATAAACATGGTCATGACTTATTCCAAAATGCTTGTGTAAAATCTACGTTGAGAGAATATGAAGGGACAAACTTTATTATCGTATTTATCATGGATAATAGATTGATGGCCCTTCATTTTTCTCCTGTGCAAATTTCAGATCCTTGGCTCCTGGGATAACATTGTTCCTGCCCCTCTCCCAATCCATAGTTGTTATGTACCTAAGAAGAAATGGGAGGCGAGCTGCTTGAAAATGAATGTTGTTGTACTACCTAGAGGAGACCCTGTTTTGTGGAAATGAGGTTACTTTTTAACAATTATCCTTGATTTTATCTTATTTCTTGCATTCTTTGCAAGTTACATTTTGCAACGTAGTGTTTTGTAATACTGTATAACAATTTTATTGGACATTACTAGTCATAAATCGGTGGCGGATTTTAATGAAATGTAATTTTTTTCCTTTCACCTTTGAGCAATGCCTTTAGTACAGGCATTAATTTTATGTTATGATAAAAGGAAATTACCCATTTTTATGTGACATTTTGTGCATTTTTTGTTGATTTTAACTAATTAGTCGTTTTTTACCTCTTACTGTCATTTTAAGCAATTTTCACTGATTTAATTGATTTTAATATAATTATAATGGTACTTGCTTCAAATAATATTTACAAAATGCAACAAATGTTCACAGAATTCTTGTGTAGCCTATTAGATTTCTTTGTGTGACACCTTTCAGCTTCATTTTCAGTTTGGCCAATTTCGTGATAACTAAAGAAAGAGATTTTGTGGTAAAGAACAGTCCAAACCAAAATTTGCTAGCCAAGTTCACTTCAACAATAAGAGGCCTCAATTACATCAGTAACATGTCCAAAAGCTTAAGTTGTTCACGTGTACTGGTTCTGATAATTTTTTTACGTCATTTTTCTTTGTTTTTAGGGCATTTTAAAAACATTTAAAGATCATTTTATTAAAAATTTTTGGTGATGTTTTAGGTCATCAAAATCCGCCCCTAATTAGAAATGTTTTGTATACTTTGTTTTATGAGAAAAATTTTATGAATTGTGTTTTGATAGTTTGTATTTTAATTTCATTTCATGGTAAAAGAAAGAGTAATGAAAATTTAGCTTATCTTACTGAGGTCTAAAGGTGGAAAGTTTTAAATTCTTATTTTCAAAAAATTGAAAGGAATTGATGTGATGTTTTTGTGTATTCATGATTTTGGTTGTTTATTTACTGTATAATTTCTCTTATCTGTTTACGAGTATTTTCTGTGAAGCCAGAATTTTATTTTATTAATTTTTGTTTACAGGAGGAAGAAAGTATATGTTTGGCCACATCTAACTTCGAAGATTTTGTTCTTCAATTCCTGGACCGTTGTTTTGTGTTGGTTGAAAGCAGTTCTCTTGAATCTACTCGTCTTGAAAGGGAAGCTGATAGACGAAGTAGAATGGAAAACTTAGCTGAAAATGCCCTGGCATCTACCTGCATTGCCTTACTCACACAGACATCGCCTCAAATTTTTAAGGTTTAGTTTTTTGTCTACCCTTTTTTATTCTGACCTCTGAACACAATAGTATCTTCAGAGCTGGTCTATGCTGCACTCTCATGAAAGTGTACCAGATTAAAAAAAGTATTGTATAATATTCTAAAGTTATTAATAGGCTTTAATCCAGGTACTCTTAAGATATCTAGATATTTAACAAATGTCCACGAGTGTCATGGTCAATATAATGAATTTCTGCTTATATTTATATCCTGATAATCTTTCTAATTTTTTAAAAATGGCTCACTTGTAAATATTTTCAAAAGCTCCTCTTATGTGTGATTATTATTTTAAAATAATGAACTGATTGGTCTTTTTTCCAATTACCTGAGACATTGTTCTGCTCTTTTTCTTCAGATTTTTCCATGTTTACCAAAGTAAATTCATTCATAAATGAAAATAGAATTATTTGATTGCAGGGAACTAAAATGTAGTATAAGATGTACACTATCAGAGACACTGACATTTGTGTGTGACATTGTGTGTGTGTGAAGGTCTGGGTACATATTCAAGTGCATATGATATAGTGTGCTTGTTTTGTCTACAAGATATTTAGTGGGTCTTAAATTTTTAATTTTGAAAGTGATTGTAATTATTTGTTTATTTTGTTCTAGGCTGCTCTTAGGAAATTACATTCCTTTGTGATGGGACGTATTTTAGAAACTAAAGTTGCAGGACAATTTATGGCTGCAATGTGTCGCTCATTTTCGAAGGTCAGTTATTATTCATTGACAAAAGTATTGCTTTTGCAAGAATTCTGTGAGATCTTATTTATAATACATTTACATTTACATCTTCAATAATACTCACAAGTAGTTTTTGCTCTCCATTTCTCTCTGATGACACAAGTACTATCATGCTGTTTAGTTACATGAAGAGATATGACATGGCCTTCCTCTTCTCCTCTTCATATCAGGATTCCATTCTAATACGAACCAAACTTCATGATTCTCTCTATAATTCTCATTCTATTATTATTTATATATATGTGTGTGTGTATATATATATATATATATATATATATAATAAAATTTATTACTTGTACTATGTGTAATAATTGTATAAAGGCGAGTCAAAATTTGAAGTGTTGTTATTTTTTATGAAATACTGTTGAGGGTACAATGCACTTGTAAATTGCCTTATATTATCCCATTTTTATAAGAACACGTCATGGCAAGAATGGGATGTGTGTAATGTATAATTTGTGAATTTTGGTACTCTGATTTGAATATCTTCTTTTAAGGAAACAATGTGATTTTGTACTTCAGAGCAAATTATAGTTTCTATTAATAGGGTTTTGATTAGGTCTATATCTGAAAATTTAAAGAGGTATGTGCTAAAATCATCGTATTAATTATATGTTTGTGAGTATTTAAAACGTGAGTAACATTCCTTTTTTCAGATATGAAATTGTTGTTTATTTCACCATCATCTCAATTTGTAAAATATTTTGACATCCAAAATGTACATTATTGGAAATGGTAAAGGAATCTTAGGGAAGAAAATGGGGCAGATACCATTTTCATTAAAATCTCTAAATTTTTGAAAATTTCGAAAGTTTTCAACAAAATCTAACTACAACATTGAAGATAATGATTTTGTTCCAAAGTAAATTTGTTGTCGAAAGACTGATATTGAAATAAGCTCATGTGTAGTTCTTAGACAATGTGAGTAGTATTTGTGTAATTTTGAGTAAATTTTTTTAAACAGTTTTTTTACTCAAAAACATTTCCATTAAAAAAAAAAAATTATTGTGTCAGAATGATAAAGGAAATGATGCTGGTTTCATTTAGGATATTTTTTACATGTTGGAGGACGTAGCCCCAGGGCCCTATAACTCCCATATAACGTGGTGGAGACCATTATGGTGGCGCGCTCTGCTGCATCACCTTCTTTACAGGAACTAAAACAGGAACTGCTGCCAACGATACTTTAAACGTGCGTGACTTGTGCGTGAGTCGCAAGCAGGACCATAATGTTACAAAAGATAATGTCTATGTTCGCGCTTCTTCAGAGGTTACTTACAAGTAGAGATTATGAATAATTGTACATTTAGAAGACACTTTTCGTATTTCTCCCAAATTAGCCAATTTGTATGTGGGAAAGTTGGCGAGCCTAACCTGCAGCTGCACCCGGCGACACTAGCGCTTCCTATAGTAGCAACCTCGAGCTTTGTCCCCGATTTTGATGGAGAGTTGCCGGGCCCTGACGTAGCCCATTGCACCAGTCTTTTGTCTTGATACCAACCTGTGAACAAGTAATGCCGCTCTGCACCATGCTACTACCAACTTGGAGCCGTTGGCTTAGGGCGTGTTTGTAGTAGCACCTGTCACTGGGTCCACAAAATTAAGAGAATGATTTCCCATCATGTGAATTAAATTATGTTGGGTTAGACCTTGGCAGCCCCTTCACACATTAATAATAATAATAGTTGTTTATGGTTGTATATATTGTGGAATCATGGCAACAAAGTATTTGCATCCCATCTGCAATCTATAACTTCCTTATCATAAGTTGCAAATCTGCAAATTATTACTTCTTTGGTTTCACTATGAATGAGTCCAAACCCCCAGATGCCCTCTACTACAAAACCTATGATATTTTCGCTGTCCGATTTTGCACTCATTAATTTTTACAACTGAGTTAGATTCACCAATTCTCGATGCTTGTAAATACCTTCTGTCCATACCGTCCATGTAAACATCATGCAGAAATAATAGCCACTCCACAAGTCTTGTGTGATAATTTTTGGCCTTCGGTGGAATGCTAAATCACAATTATATATTATTTATTTATGTATTTATATGCGAAGGAATACATGAGCTTGCTTGACAGTTAATTGAACGTTTTCAAAAATTGTATCTCGTGTTGCAGTGATGTTTCGTCCCTGGCTGATTCTTTTTGCATGAGAAGTCCCTTTCCTCTGTTCCCAGTAGCAATTAATAATGTCCCACGACACCACTGTATAATGGCTGCCTTATTTCCCACAATATTTGACGAAGTCACCCATTTCATGTTGGAACAATAAACAACACTGAATACTACTAATACCTTCTTAGATTACAAAGGTTGGCAGAAGGAATCATGAAGATGTACATTTTTGTGATGGCAAACCTATAGAGACATATGAAGAACGAAATCCACTATACCCCGAACAAGTAAAGAACAGCCCCCATTTTTGGCGAACTCTGTATTATTGAAAATTTCGAATAATTGACATTAAAAAAGAACCTTATTAAAAATTGAGATTTTTGTCTAAATTTGCAATTTTCAAAATATTAGTTGTGCACCATTCTTTTAAGCCTCTTTTGATTTATCCCTGGAAAAAATATTGAGCATTTTTGAAGGAAAGATGTTTTCTAAAAATTGCATTTTTTATTATTATTTATTTATTAATGGTGGCAGCAAGAAGCTGTTGTAGACATATCTTACAAACTGCGTAATAAAATTATATAATAAATCACTTTTGTGGAGTAACAATGTTATAAAATAAAATATATATTTATATCTTGTGGTTTTAGTAAAGAAGTTAAATTCAGGAATGTTATAATATCCCTTCCAAGATTTTAAAAGATTCTATAATATCACTCCTTTGAGTTAGTTGCATAAAGCTTTCCATATTGGTTCCATAGCTATGGGTTCAATAAAATTTATAGGTTCCATAGGCTGTGCACCATTGCATAAAGCAAATTTATGGAATCTACAACTATAGATTTTATAAGAACTTTGAGATGCAACCAATAGATAGCGACACAGTTGATATTTGAACACTTATTCCTTACACCATTTTGCATGTTTTTTGCATGTGTTGCGTTCTTTAAGGTGTTTTTGGTTGTTTCTTAATGCAAACTCAGTGGCAGTTTGATTTTATTTCATTATTTTCATTTTAGTTCATTTTTTGTGTAATTCTTATAGTATTTTAAATACGATTAATTCTTTATATTAGCCATTGCCTTTTTTTATTTAAGTAAATTAATTTACCTTCCATTCTTAAATTTAAATATTAATTTTTGCTGATACAATTAACAATAAATTAAAATTAATAATGAACTACTATCCAAATCTCTCTGAAATACAAAGTAATAATTAATTTGCTATCTGAACAATTAAGTAGTACATGTTAATACAAGTAGAGCCCAGAAGTAAGGCATTTGATTTGCCAAATATAGGCAAGCAATAATGCACTAAAATATGTCATGAGTTTTCAAAAATATTAATCAGAGGGTAACCATTTACATTATACAAATTTTATTTGTAATACTGATATTATACAAGCTCTTACAAGAAAACATTTTCATCATTTGTTCATCAATAAATTTTGTAATCTTCATTGATTATTTATTGGAAAGAAATTGTTTCACAACAGAAAATTATTCGTTATGACAAACCAAATTTCAGCGTGATAACTGCAAATTAAATTCACTTATGATTCTACAAAGGGTTAACTGTGGGAACTATTCTTTAATAAATCTTTGAATTTTAACATAATTGAAAAACTATTGTTTTCATTCATTGCACTCCTTTATTCACCAGTACTTGATACAATCTGGCTTTATTGTATCGTGTACAAAGGTGTCTGTTCTCAAAAGGTGTTGAATGCCCCATGTAAGCATTGGATGGAAGTTGATTGATATTGGTGGCTGGTGAAAAAGAATTCAAAAAAGGAAGAAGACAAAATATTATAGCAAAAAATAACATATTGACATAACCAAATTTAATTTTTACTTCTTGCCACAATAATGCAAAAATAATGTATGAATATTGAATTCACCGATATTAAACTCATACAAATATACCTAAAACGCACACAACACACCAAATAAATTTCGTAAAAGCCACCAAAATCCAATGCAACGCAACACAACACACGGATGCCGGGTACCACCAATAACCTCAAACAGCTGCAGCAGTACTCCAAGCTCGACAGTGTGTTTCCAATCGCCACCTGAAATGTTCTGCCCGATAAATATTCCTGAACCCACCTCAATAGTTTACCTCATATACCCAAAGATGAGACGTTTATGTGGTACTTTATCGAAAGCTTTAGCGTAATCTAGATAAATGACATAAACTGGTTATTTCTGATCCAATTCTTTGGTCCATACATTAGTAAATTTGTAGATGTGGATCTTCCTGGAATGAAACAGTGTTGTTGAATAGTGATAATATCATTTTCAAATGCATGATCTAGAAGCTGTCGAACAATTATCCTTTCCGTGACTTTACTCACTGTGCTTGTCAAGCTTATTGGTCTGTAGTTTTCTGGTAACTTTGTCTCCTTTCTTGAAAACTGGCGTGATAACAACTTTTTTCCATGCGGAAGACAACTTCCTTGGTTCTAATGATTGTTTAAATATTCTGTTCAGTAAAGGAGCTAGTTATAGTTTACAATTTTTCAGATACATGATTGAAATACCATGAGGACCAGTGGATGAGCTTGCATTTAGTCCACACATTATCTGGACAGTTTCGATGTTTGAAAATATAATATTTTCAATAATTTTGGTACATTTATATTCAATAATTGGCAATGGGCCCTCTGATTCAACAGTATATACTTTCCCGAAATCATTTGTAAAGCATTCCATGATCTCACATGGGTCAGTTATCACAGAATCTCCATTCAGAACAATCATAGGAGGACCACTTTTACAGTTTGTTAGTCTTCGTATATAGAACAAGAATCTTTTGCCACCATCCTGAACAATTTGCTTTCTGAGTTTTTGTTTATGCTGTCTCACATTAGAGGTGAGATTGCTTGAGATGTTCCTGTAGATGGTGTAACTTTCATCTGTTCCAGTTCTTCTATAATTTGCCCATGCTTGACGTTTTGAGTCTGCTTTGTTTTATGATCTCGTGACTAATCCAAGGTATATTTAAATTTCAAGCCAAAATTATGTGAAAACTGCTAATTTTTCGAAAAGTTGTCCTTGACTTGTTTTAATGAGGCGACTTTTTAGAATATATTTTGTATAAGGCAAGTATCTCTACCGTCAACTTAGCAGTTTTAAAATTTTTGCAATTTTCAAAAATACAGTGTGTTTCTAGAAGCGAGGCCAACCCCAATTTTTGTATCGCCTTTGATACATGAAAAAAGCAAAACTAAAGAAAAAAGTTAAAGCTTTTTTGAGAAAGTAATTGTTTAAAAAAAAAATTTAATTGCCTGTATTTCACACAAAATAACATGAAAACTTTCGAAAAATTGTACATGATCTTATTTCAAGAATTGTTTGAAGAGCAGATTACAGAAAGGAAAAAATTCTGTCGTCAGTATTCTAGTTGTAGGAAGATGCTGGGAAAAAAACAACAACCTGAGGACAAAGTTTAATAAAATATTTTAGAACTATTTTTGAGAAAATTTTGAAAATGTTATGTTTCATGTGAAGTACGGTCAAAAATGAAAATATTTCTTTCAAGCTCAGAGGGTCTCAAGGTCATTTAAATGGATTGAGGAATCTGAATTTTGGAGAAAATTGTCTGAATGGTTTGGGGTTTAGCATTGACCCCAACTGATAAACAGGCAGGCAGAGGAATGGACTGATGTTGTGTCGTTGAATCGATTTTTTAGTATCAAGGATCCACAAAACATGGATTCTGACTTCACTAAGCCTTTGAGGAAGTAATTCACTATATTTGGGAACAAGATTTATCCACTTTTCCGTTACCAGGGCCTAGCAACAAGTGTTTCTGTAAAAAAAATTTCCAGTACAAGATTCTTTCTCTTAAGAATCTAGGACAAGAAAGTAAAAAGGTCATATACAATTTTTTAGGCAAACAGAGTTCATCTATCATTTCTTCTTTAAGTTAATGCAATGTATGATGCTGCTCTTGAGGAGATGTAGTTCTGGAACGTGGGCAAAATTGTTTTAAATACTTTGAGTAAAAACTTTGTTTGTAATCTATTAATATATTGATATTAAAAAAATTGTCAACTAATTCTTTTTTCCAATATTTGCTTCAGGTAAATGGTGAAGAAACACTGAGAATGTTTGTTCCATGCCTCAGTGATAACATTCTTACTTTAACTGACTCTGAAGACATTTTGAAGGAAGAGACCTTAGACAATGAGTTACTGTACAATTTGGTTGTGCTCTCAGAGGTGAGTTTTTGAGGGTAACTTTTGGTTATTGATTTTATTTTTATGCCAAGTTCCTTGGTTGATCTTTCGAACGACTCTCCTACTGGTGGCATTGGCAGGCTTCGTGGCACCGTGGTATGCCACACGCTTCTGAGCGCAGCTAGTGTCAGGAAAGGAAACTGTAGTAACCCCTCCATTTTCCTACTTGGAAGGAATCGAATGTAGATAAGAGGATATGCGTAGGAAAATTAAAGTGAAACTAAAAATATTAATTTAATTAACATTAATTTCACAGCAAATGTTCTGAAATGTATTTATCTAAAACCCCTGAAATTGTATTTCATGTGTAATCATTTAGGGCTACTTTTACATACTACTGCTCTGTTGTGGAGAGGTGGTGAACCGCCTAGAGGGGCAATTTTGTTGTGCCATGTACTCCGGCTGGTGGCAACAACCGCAATATCCATATCCGTTACAATATCAATTTTTGTCAGCGATTAGTCATGAATCCAATTTCGAGAATGTTCTCTGATGATACATAGCTTGTTCTTAGGGATGTGAATGTCAGTGTTTCTATTTCAGCTTGCTACTGAATTCTGTTTCTCTTGCATAAAACATTCCTGGTAGTCCTGAAAAAATTAAAAATCTTGTTTTGTTTCTCCCTCCTGTATTTGTTTCCTATGGCTTTATTGGTTATTCAGTTGTTTGAAAGGATGGAAAGCAAAACGATTTTTGTGTAAACCTGCTTGAATTGAGTGGTTTTGGAAGGGGACTTGTATCTGACAGATGGTGCATGCAGATTTTCAAAGGCTGTTGGAATGAGGGGAGAGAAAGAGAATAAAGGTAAATAAGAAAAATAGGGATTAAGAATTTTGGAAATAGTTTTGGAAGTTGGGAGAGGAAATTTGCATATTAAGATCAACATTAAAAAGTATGTAGAAATTGAATCGTTTCATATTACTTAAACATTTCTATGTATTTTATAAGAATAAGCTACATTCTCTTTATAATGGAAAGTTTTATTGTAAAACACATTATTTAATATTTACAGATTGTTGATTGTCCAGGAAAATTTCTATTACCACATGTGCCTACTCTTAAAAAAGTCCTGGATCGCACACTGCATCTAACATGTCGTGAAGGACATACCATTGCTGCAAGATTGATGCATCTTACCTTGAATAGTTTGTGTTCTACTGTCCCTCTAGAATTCCGTAGTGTGCCTCAAACATTCGCCGAAGACATCAAAGACTATTTGCCTGTTAGAGTAAGTGAAATAAATGATTTTATTAAATTTTTGGATTTGCAAATTGTAGTTATTTACTTATTTATTACAAAGTCTAAAATATTTGCAATATAATTGTCAGAATTTTTTTTGAATTGTGTTATATTGTATTGTGCAGGATTGGGGTAAAGCAGGAAACATCCATGATCTAAGAGTGAATTGGTATATTCCCGGAAAAGAGGAAATTAATTGTGTAAAGTCTTTTATTGATTCATACTTGTGTCCTGAAATGAATTCTATCGAGCAGTTCATTGCTGATACTTCTTCAATGTCGAAGTGAGTGTGAACTAAAGGTTTTCAGGAATGATTTGAAGGGCTTGATGCTAGTTATTCCTATGCCATGTTTTCAACAAAAAGAAGGTGATACTACTCACCATATTGATTATTACATTTTGTGAGAGTTTTGTGATGGTGGTACATCAGATGATGCTGTATTACAGAGATATTTCTTCTTTACTCTGCAACAACGAATGACTGATCTACTTTTTATTTACTTATTTCTCGGTATGAATTTGTACGTGGCGTAGGGCTGTCTAAAGCCAAGCTCTTCATTTTATTTAGATTTCAAAATAATGTAATTTAAATTGTCTGTGCTTGTTTCTTGAGTGTATGAAATGTGTTGAGAAGTGTATGAAATGCCAGGTTGGTTTAAAATGAAAATGACAGTGATTTAATTAATTGTGTTAATGGAATGACAGTGGTTTAAATAAAATATCTTATTTAAATTTAAAAAAACCTGCATCCAATAAAATGGCTTAATTGCATTGTAATGACTGTCCTGTGTTGCTATGTTTTAGAGAGGAACTGCAGCGGTCACTAGGAATTATTTGGGCCTTCCTGGGTTGCAGAGTTCCCCTTCCACAATGGGAAGAAGCTCCATTGGAATTGTGAGTTTGAGCTGACAGAAGTATATAAAAAATTGTAATACTCAGGGTGAGTCATTTCGGATGGGAACAACAACAACAACAACAACAACAACAACAACAGTAACAGACCAGCAAGTTCCTCTTGACATTAGGAAAAAATAATTCTTTTAGTTTTGGCCTCCGAGGCATAATTCCCATTTCTTACTTCTGCGTATAGGTCAACTCGGACCACGCGTGCATCCTGCTTCAGCAGGTGCAAGTACCTTTATCTGGGGGGGATCAGCATTTTAGTGGAATTCTGATTGTTATCCCTTAAGGTTCTTAGTCCCAGGGGTGTAGATGATGAGATGATGTTGATAGTGAAGGATGAAAATATGGCACTCACATATAGACATACACAAATACATCAGTTTTTATTTTTTATACATCAGACAGTTAAATGCTGGATAAAAACTAATCGATCATCTAAGTCTGTTAGTATACAACTCTATGACTAATTGTTTATTGTTCTTTGTTTCACAAGTTTGTTAATTTTGTTGTGTATTATATTGTATTTTATTTTACCAATTGTTCAATTATGTGAAAAAGTTTATAAGAAATATATTCTTTATATCAAATTTGTAATTGATAAGCCTTTTTATCGGAGTAATTTTTATTTTACAAATATTTAAAATAGAAATATATTTTCAACTATTACAAATAATATATATTGATTTAAATCATTGATTTTTTAAAATCATTTGATTTAAATAATGCGATTTAAATTGTACCAGCCTTACCAAAAACTCTTGAATTTATAAAACAATACATTTAACTAACTTAAGACGATGAAGATCATGTCTCTGAAATATGATGAGCAAATGATGAACTGCCATAGCAATAGGCTTGCCGCTGTGATGACAGCCTCCAGTGGCCTGGCTCCTTTTGAGTGTCTTTCCGTGTTTCTTGGCGTGGGAGGAGAGGGAGTGGGAACTGGCTAATGACCACAGATAGATAATTTGCCTTACTTCTCTCGTGTGGTTGCCCTGTCTCACAGGTGGCCTGACAGCAGGTGATTAGCCAATCTGGGCGCAGCCGTTCTGTGTAGTAGTACTTCAGATAGTACTGCAGTTATGACTATGTAGAAGCACTTCAGTTAGTACTGCAGTTACGAATATGTGGAAGCACTTCAGTTAGTACTGCAGTTACGAATATGTGGAAGCACTTCAGTTAGTACTGCAGTTACGACTATGTAGAAGCTCTTCAGTTAGTACTGCAGTTACGACTATGTAGAAGCTCTTCAGTTAGTACTGCAGTTACAACTACGTAGAAGCATTTCAGTTAGTACAGCAGTTACAACTACGTAGAAGCATTTCAGTTAGTACAGCAGTTACAACTACTAGAAGCACTTTAGTTAGTACAGCAGTTTCGACTGTTGAAGCACTTCCGTTGGTACAGCAGTTTCGACTATGTAGGATCATTTCCACTGATACAGCAGTTTCAACTATGTAGGAGCACTTCCACAACAGCATCTTTCTCGTCTGAGATGTTTGTTTGAGCGACAAATGCCAAAATGTGTGCTCCGACCACAAAATACGAAGAAGTGTGAGAGCCAAAATCTTTTGGCGTCTGCTGAGAACAAAAACTCTTCTCTGAGAGCGGAAACCTATCTTTGCTCTTCCAGAAGTAAAACTAAACTTTCTGCCCCCCTCTATGTTCTTCATAGTATAGGAAGTAATGTAAATATTTAATGAAGTTGGTAAACATGTATGGCCAATTTCAAGTATTTCAGCAATTATTTTGAGCGATTAACATTGTAAACACAAAACTATTATCGGATCAGAGAATGGGCGTTTTTCTCAAGGTAAGTACATCCGGTGGTTGTATTCTAATTTCATTTCTTTTATACGAAAGACAATTTCAGAATAACATCAATGCCAGTAACAGCCACATTGTGAAACAGTAACACGGTGTGCACAAAAATATTTTGCCATGCGTTATAGTAAAAAATGTATGAGACAAAATCATAATTACAGAATTCAGCTGTGTCTGTGTATTTTTTTCATTGGATATTTAGAGGGGTGGATGAAATATATTAACATAGATATAAAATTTAATGCTGTGTGTACTATCTGTGAGTGTATTCTTGAGCTCTCAGTTCGCTCTAGTGAAGGCTATTATGTTTAAGAGGGTCCTTTCCTGCCTCTACTGTCTTTACTTAATGGCATATTCCTTTTCACTGTGCACATGTGAAAGTAAACCTATTGTTAGCAGTGTGCAGAAAAGATGAAAGGATGGGTGTTATGAGAGTAAGTAATGAAGAGACCTGAAAACCCCCCTAAATTTATTTTTTCAAGTATTGATATGAGAGGAGCAAAATGGTTTTAGCTATTTGTCCAGGAGTATTTAAAAATAAATCTTTAGGTTGTTTGCAAATAATGTCTGTTACATGGGTGTAAATATTTCTTACTATCAAATGTGGACAATGTTGCTATTTTTCGATTACAGTGTAACTAGGTTTACTGGGTATGATGAAGATACAGAGTTCAAGAAAACATGTTCAGATAGTATTAGTTTTATATATTTTTTAGTCATGTATTTTTATTTTCAGAGCAAAGAGTTGCCTCAGTGACAGTCCTTTCCAATCAAAAACTGAATTGGATTATGAACGGAGCAAGGATCATGGTATCACAGTGAATAACATGAATGTAAAGAAAGCAATAGTTGCCCTAATGGACAAATTGCAAGTGAAGTTATTGGAATGCAAAGAGGATGATACAAAATCATTTTTTGTGCTGATTAATGTGAGTAATTCATTTTGATATCTTCCCTTTGCATTATTTGTTCAGTTAAGGCTTGCTAATGCAGATTAAAATGAAAATCAGACTGTTTATCAAAAAGAAAATCAGACTGTTAACATCAACTAAATACAAGTTCTAAAAATTAATTCATAACTGATAAGATTCTTCAACTGATGAGATTAGTTCAATTTTAATTTGACTAAATAAAATAGTTCTTAATAATTTTAATATCCAATCTCTCATGATCTGAAATCCATGTTGGAAATCTGAAGAAAAATAATTATTGATAACTGAATTTTTGAATGCCAGTTTCTTGAAGTTCTTTATTCTGTTCTGTTGACAAACTTGAAGTGAGCAAATTGGGAATACCTTCTTCCTTTATTCTGAAACTTCTTAATTCTCTTATCGTGATTGTGGTTTTTGTTCAGTTTCTCAGTGATACTAAGAGTGAACATTGAAATTATCTATTTGCTTTTGAAGAGAAAATGTGTTATGCTGTTATTTCTTTCTATATGTATCTCGTGCAGTTATTCTGTTCATTGACATAAAATTGTGTCAATAATTTCCGTTTTTTCTTATTACATTGAAATGGACGTTCAATATAAACTAAATTCTTCCAAACCTCCAATTTTGTTGCCATACTTTATTTTTTTGTTAAATTTTGTCTAAAGTTTATCAATAATTTGTACTTCATAATAAATAAAATGTAATTAGAATTATGAATTTGGTGTGGAAACAAAATGGTTGAAATACTAATCACTAATTTTGTTTTTGCATCAAAGTCTCAATTTGCAATTGTTCCCAGTCTTACAATGAAGATTTATTCAACACTGAAATGAAGTCCATTCAGCAAAGAATATTTTCTGCTCATATGCGGAAAAGTGAATATAACATGGTAATATAGAAACATGTATGAAAGAAGTTCTTACAATTCAGAGCTTAATGAGTAAAGTGATTTGATTCAACCCAATTTTAGTATAAATTAATTAAAGCAGTGCAATAAATAGTACGTGTGTGAAGGGATCTGAAGTAAAAGATAATTATCCTTACATAATTTTTCCTCCAATTACACTTAAAATCATAGTTTTTGTGATGCTATAATTTTTGGCCTCTGCCATCTGTTTGCAACCTGTGTGGTATTCAATTTATGGCTCATATTTAGCCCCTAATTATTACCATTTTTATGTAACCCACACAAATTCCTTTATCCAAAACATTCACTTCCTTAAATCTTGAAAGCACATCCTTGTAGACTATCATGTTTCACACTTGGACCCTACATGGACTACATGTGTAAAGCCATATTGCAATCCTACAGCAATGTGCAATCCTCAGTCTTATCAGTCTGCTGCAATTCATTCCTCCTGGGTTTGTTGCCATACTTTATACCATATAAATACTTTCTACACTTATATTAGTAGTAGTACACAGATCGCAAGGGATCCCTAGTTATCCTAACTGGATATGCACAATATTAGGATGCCAGCCATTTGTTCACTGCTTATTCGAACTCGAACAGCCTCTTCCATTTGTTTGTGATATCGTGTATTAGCTTTCTACACTGGTTTGTCATGAACACAATTTTGGCCATGTGAAGTTGGTAGCCTTGATTACTTCATTGCGCCACCCTTGTGCCACTTTTGTATTAATATGTATTGTTTCAGTGTTAACAGTACTTTTCCTTTTTCTCTTTTTAAGATTTGGGAGTGTTTGCTTACGGATGTTCGTGATGAGAGATTGGCATTTGAAGCACGTTGGAAGAGATTCCGCATTGTGAAAAGAATTTTAGAAAACAAACTTGTTGGAGAAAAGCGGCATCTTCGAGCTCTTTTGATTGACAGAGCTGTGCTTCAGCATGAGGTGTTGTTGGAACGAGGCAATTTCTGTATTACACCTACTCACAAACTGATAATGTTGAATCTTCTCACTCTCAGCACCTCCCAGTACAGTGAGGTAAGAGAAATCTACATTTTCCGTAAATTTTTAATTAACTTTATTACTTAATTTAATTTATTTAGTGTAATTCATTACACTAAAAGGCCTAAACCCAAAATACGTTTATTTTCTATTTGATAGTTAATTGATATATGTACGAGTCATTCCACATCAAATCACACACTCCAAAAACATCACCATTTTTTAGCGACTTAGTAGATGTGAAGGGATATTTCTCTTTATTGCTCTGTGAAAGTATATCGATAGTAATCATCTACTGCTGATTAGCGTGTACTCGACAGATGACGCTGCAGCAAAACAGCAAGGAGACATTTCTATTGTAATTAATTGATGGGACCCATCTTGGTGTCCCACTTTGCAACTTACCAGACATACAGAACTTTTCAGAGATGACAATTGATGTATTTAGATACCATTATTTTTTCTTTATTGATGCAAAATACTGAATTTTTGTCACAATTTCAACACAAGTTAAACATTATTAACTTTAGCAATATTGGCATTTTTTTTGAAAATTAATGTCCTCTTGAAAAATTATATTTGGGAAAAAATGAAAAACATTTTCATATTTTTTCTTATACTCTTCACAGAAAAAAAGCTTAATCTGGGAAATCAAGGTCAAATTTTCCTTAAATATGTGCAGTTGGTGTAGAATGACCCATGCCATGGAATGTTTTCATTTGTAACCTTTTTTTATTTTCCATGATAAATATATAATAAATAAAGTTAAATAAAAAGAAAGAAAAATTAAATAAATCAAAAATAAATAATACTAGAATTGTTTGATAGTTTTCTGGTCATTCAATAAAAAAGTTTCTTAGTTTGCCAATGTTACGGAACTTTGTTCCCTCATCAGGGCAGTGGGACACATTTACGCTGTTACTTCATCCAAGTTGGATATATTTCATAGAGTAAATGCAGAGTGTTCAGGGCAATAAACGTTTTTAATGACAGTTTCTATATCAAATGAGTGTTGCCAAAGACTGCATCACTCTCCAAAATATATTCTTCCACCGGTCAGCTGAATAGCCGTATCAGTTGGCTGGATTTTGTAATTAAGTGTATTTTCATGACACAAAGGTTAGAAATAGTTTTCACAAGAGATTGATTGTATTCCACAATCATTACTGACAAAAAATTGCACGAATTGATGCAAATAATTTTGAAATGCTATTGATAATATGTGTAACTGAATGAATTAAGCCATCAGACAGAAAAATGATGACGAAATATACCGCCAAACACCCATGTAGGCATTGTGAAAACTATCCGAATTTTGTTGGTATGTTTTGATATTGCGTGTTCAGAGCTTTTAAATTAACATGTGCTGTAGAATATTTCCTAATTAGAATAATTGATGTTTGTTATATCTATTGATTGATCATTATGACTAATTATCAATTAAATGGGTGAAAACCAGCACAGTAAGTGACACATGTTTTTCTCAGAATTTATAAAATGTCACTTATATTGTTTGGTTTTTCATCCATTTAATTATTGATCATTGACGGACAGATTTGTTTAGTTAATTGTGAAATTATGGTAATAATATTTACATGCTGTGATTCATTTGTTCAACAATACATGGCAGGTAAACAAATGCTTCATTGAAATGTTAACCATGTGTAATTAACATGAATCCATAATTAATTGCTATTTAATATTTTATTACAATTTGGGTCCTACTGATTATACAACCTTGGAAAATATTGACACTATGTCAAAAGGTTACTGTGAGGAAAAAGATTCAAGTTAGTAAACATTCTCTCAGTACTGATTGGCAAAATACACACAGTTAATCGAAAGATTAATAACTTTCAAGTGAAAAGTTTTTCATCTTGTATGAAAAAACCAAGAGTGTGTTAAAATTTAGATATTAGGTACACCATGGGTCAAAATGCGCTATGAAATATTTTGATGTGTTTGTTATTAAAAGGATATTATAGGATGTTAAATAATAATTTCTAATTTAGGAGAGATAAATGCTTTTCCACTTTCACAATGAACATTTTAGACTTAAGAAATTCAAATTGAAACATGATATACCTTCAATAACTTTATTATTTAAAAGCAATATTTGTATTGTAACGTCCTATATATAAACATTTGATTGGTTATCAAACCCGACCTAACTAATTTGATAACTTTTTTCTGATCTCACATTCTATTGATACTTATTTCATAAGTAAGTGATATACTCCTCAAAAGATAAAACTTTTCTTGTAATTAAATCTGCATTTCTAATTCTTTTTTATTCAAAGTAAGAATGTTTTTCTATTTCCTGGTTTATATAGTGTATGTTGTCAGAATATATTTTAAACACATATTCATACACATCAAAAATCAACTTCATGAAATTCAAAATCTTCTTTCTAAAAATAAAAAAAATAAAAAAAAATTTAAAAAAAGACTTAAAATTTCTTTTAATTATTAAAGAAATTATAAAGGTAGTTAACGTCAGATTTAATGAAGTGACTACTTACATCTTCTGAGAAATATACCTCATTACTGTAATTTGTGGGAACACATAATAAATAATTAAAATGTTCCTATACACATGAGGAACGATTCAGTAATTGCAAGAAAAATACTACATATCTTGCAAAAAATGATAAAAAATACCCCTACATGTGTGTAGCAAAAATAAAAAATTAAATCAATTTATGAAATTAATTTTCGAAAAAAAATTAGACACATTAACTAAGAGCAAAATTAAATTGTGTAAAATTCAGTTATGATTACTACTTACTATACATGATTTACTAAAACTCCCATCACCATCAAACCATTACCGAACCACAAGCTTTTTAACTACCTTACGCAATATTTATTTTCAGAGAGATCGAGAGAGAACATTCACACACATACAAATGCATAGCAAATTAGATAAAGATCAAAATATTTGCTAAACTTCAACTGGTACCGCAGTCTCCACCTCTCAACCAAAAAATTCAAATTTTAATTTTAGCAGTTTTAATGTTGCACATTACATTCTTTTCTCAACACTAATGTACAATGAAGTCACTTTTTAAAAGCCATCTGGTAGTTTTTATCTGGATTTTGAAAGATTGCTGTTGTTAGAGATCTCAAGTACAAAGATGTCCCTACATATAGCTCGTTTCATAAATGTTTATTGAAAATTAAATTCTGATGTATTAGTTATTAAAGCTTTTCTACCAATTCTGATAGTATATAGCGCTTAAGCAAAACCTGTAAAAGTACAAATAAGAATAATGATGATAATAGTAGAAAAAAATATGTTCCAGTTAGTGAAGATCAGCTTAATAATGATATATGGTATTCACTATTTCACCTGGAATATAACCACTCACTTGCGCTTGTTGGAAGAATATAAATTTATGACTTGCAACTGCTCCTGAGAAGAATAAAATTTGTCAAATATTTTCAAACCCAGTTTCTTGGGGAACCATATTTTTATTTATATCAGAGGGTCCTGGAATGGGATCACTGAGGGGCACTTTATCATCATAACAGTCAACCTGAATATTTATTATTACTGCAATCTCTGGAGCCTCCTTTCTTATTTCACTCTACACTCTTCTTCTATATTCTTTGCATTATGTGCCACATAATTATCTTGAATATAGCAGTTTTCAGAATAAATCAGTGTGTTATGTTAGTAATATTTCTGCAAAATATCTCAAGGAAATATTTTTACATTTATTCACTTCTCCACAGTATCATGATGACAATATCTTTTGCACTGTCTCCACACAAACTCGATGGTATTTTAAGTGACAAAAATGAGGAGGGGAGAGACAGAACTCAATGACCAGCTTTTTCTGTCATTTCATTTTCTCCTCATCAACTAATATGATTTATCAAATATTGGGATCATAATTCTATGATTTAATTAAAACGCGTATGCTTATTTCAGTGAGAAACTTTTTCTGAACAACAGTCTTCGAAGCTTTTTTACATTCTATTAGCAAACTTTGTTCCAATTAAAATTTTATTACTGATTTTACTATAAGATCATTGAACGCATGTAAATAATGTTGAAACATTTACTTTTGTGATTGAGTTGTATAGTAGCAGTACCTCTTTTATAATCAATTATTTTTAAAAAGGATGAAATGAATTTCAGAAATGCGTGTTTTTCACATTCTTAACCCTTCCGCTCCCAATTTTTTTCCTGGCCAACTGAAAAGTGGTGGATCATCGCAGATGTTAAAATACTAGCCTAGAGAGTTCTTTTTAACAATTTATTATCTTAAATTTAATTTTTCATTTCAGGAATTTTGAAATAGGACCTGGGACATATATGACCCAATGGGACTGGAATGTGGGAGGTATGTGTCCCATTGGTATACAAAATCCAGATTAGGAAAACTAAAGAAAAGTTATTTTATTTCATGAATGATATGTAGTAAAGCAACTTGTACACAAAGGAACATCACACATTGTGCATAATCTCTTTGTCCTTTTCTCGATTTTTTGTGATGCACATTTAGTGCACCGTCTCCTTGTTTTCCCCTCCACAGGCATGTGCTCTCCAACATTCAACATCAGTTTTTGTGCCACCAATCGACGTCCACTTGTTGGATTTCTTTGAACTTGTGCCATTGACTTTCCTTAAGCTAGGAGCCTTTCTGATAGAGGAACCATGAAGTCCAGAAGGGTTGTTTTCCTCTTGTTCATGTCTTGGAAAATGATCCATGCGTTCACAACTGTAATCATCAGTAATTTATAAAAAACCTTTTTCCACCACTTATTGGATTTGCGGTCAAAGTCATAGGTGGAAACCTTTTGATCAGATAGATCAACTCCACCCATAATTTCATTATAAAATGAAATTGCTTCAGGACATTCTATTGATACTTTGGTTCCATCTTTTTGCTTCCTTTCTACTGGTTTGCTCATTGTGCCATGACAGTTGCTCTGAACAACTACATCTTTCAAGTCCCTCCATCTAGCAGCAAGAGTTCCAAAATTGTTTGTTTGAAATTCAAAATCCCCCTTTTCCAAATTGTTGGGGAATTTTGGAATGTTTTTTCTGTTCAAAATACATGTCCCAACAGCAGGAAATTTCAGTGAGTTCAGGAGTCTCACACTCGTAAAGAATCTATCAAAAGCTAGACTCACAGTCGGATCTCAAATATTTTCTGTTAGCCTCAAAACAACTCGTTCTCCGAGTGTAAGTCCTTCATTTCTGAAGTCATCTCTACTCGCATACACATTCATGTCGTGTACATATCCTGTCTTAGACACATCGCTCCCACATTTTTATACCTCTTTTGACTGGCTTTAGAGGCAAATACTGCTTGAGACTGGAACGACCCCTGAATTTAGTCATTGACTCGTTGATGCTCTGATTCGGGCTTTCTGCTCTTGCTTTGGGAAATGTTACTTTCAGACATGACAGCACTTCGTCAATATAGTATGTTTTGGAAGCAGTATTTGGCTTTTCTGGACGATTCAAGTACAACTTTGACCAAAGAAGTTGGAATCTGTTTCGAGACATTGCCTTTTTTATTGCTACATTACCCAGTGAAATATTGGTGGACCAATAATGTGCAAATTTAGGAACCTTGTTATAGGACATGACTAGTAATATTCCGAGAAGCATCATAATTACTATACTGTCAGTTTCAAGAATTTTGCACTTCTTCAATGGATATTTTCTTTGTAAAATTTTCAAACGTTCATTTGTACACTGGGCAATGTATATCATTAGGCTTCTAGGAAACAGTTTCAAAAACACATCAAGTTCATTTGCTGACCGGTTCAGGTCTTTGCACAAAATTACTGTAGGACGATTTGCAGCTACACTCAGTCTTGAAGAAAATCCATTTACTGCGTCAGTCCAAAGAATGCCTGGAATATTGTTTTCGTCCCCAACTGAATGTGCATTATTATCCACAGCACTCTCTCCCTCAGAACTACTTGCATCTTTTGAATCTTCATCTTCATCACTACTAGTATTACAATCTGGCACAAAATTTCCATCCGCAAATGTATCATCTGAACTAAAATCATCCAAGTCACTGCTTTAAAAAATATATCTTACAACTCCTTGTCTGTAAGAAGTTCTTGGCCTCTTTTCCCACTCCTTGTTCTGAAAAGCAAAAAAACGCGAAAAAAAAAATGTTATCTGTAATTTTCTGAAAAGATACTGTTGGGACACCTGTAACCCACACAACAATCCCAGTGGGACACATGTGTCCCATCTGACGTAATAGAAATTCTTACCTTCAAATTATGTTTAGAAGCACTGATACTACAAATACATGTACTCACCAACTCTAACACTCAATTCTAAACTCGAATCCCTGTAACAGCAATATCAAGCAACAAAAAAAGGTGTTTCAGTCAAGGACTTCACCGTTAATGCAGACGAATATGAACAAAAACCGCCAATACACAAGTGCAATATGGTGTAAAAACGAAGAACTAATTACGTAGGCTTCAGGAACCCATTGGGACACACAATAAACTGAAATTTACAGCAGAATATCCCAATAGTAGCCTGGTGAAAGTTGGCGGGACATATGTATCCCGCAGGGAGCGAAAGGGATAAAAGAACTATTATTGAAAAATATCACTCACCAGCACAGAATAAACAGCTGTCTATTACATAAATGGATGTTTCTAACAATCAAGGTAGAAAGCTTTCATCCACTTCTGAAACACCTCTGCTGTCATAGTGTCATAATACTCTTATATTTTTTTCATAATAAGTAATAAATTATAATAATAATTTGTATTATTATTAAATATATATTATTATATAAGTATATAATATAATTTATGTAACTTATATAAATAATAATAATAATATTATAATAATAATAATAATAATAATAATAATAATAATAATAATAATTATAATAATAATAATAATAATAATAATAATAATAATAATTATAATTATAATAATAATAATAATTATAATAATAATTATAATTATAATAATTATAATAATAATTATAATTATAATAATTTTTAAATAATATATATTTTCCCTTCGTCTAAACTTTTGTTCAAGCAGCACGCTTTACTCTTATCTTGTCATGGTCGAGAGGCAAAAAATGAAATGTAGATTGTTGAAAACAGTATATAAAATTATATATCAAAATAAAACAATATTAAACCACCAATGTAGGTGCTTCAAACCGGACAAGCAGTATTCATGATACAAGCAAGTCATTAGACATGCTGATCTAATTCCAATGTCAGACATTTAAACATACTTCAATACATGCAAATCGTGTCTTATTCATTTAATTATTTGTCCCATTTCATATCTTTCAATTGTAAAGAATTTAATAGATGTTTTGCTTGCCTTTCAAATATAACTATGCCAAGAAGCAGGCAAAAGGCTTGCCAAATAAACACAATTCCTGCTAGTTGAACTTCTCATTTCAGTAGTGAAGTCTCCAAATATTAACTAAATACAGCATACAGAAAATGTTAACTTTTATCTTTACCATAGTTTCAAAGTATTTTCATACTCTTCTATCACTATAACAAAATACTTTTTCATGAACATTTTCCTTAATGACACTACAATAGGTGGTTCCACAGCTCCAAGACAAGTTAGGCAATGATTGTGGAATAAAAGCGAATAATTTCTGTGCATTAATCACTGACTATGCCCCCTGGCACAATCCCTGTGGTGTGGCAACAGTAGCTGTCAAAAAAAGAAAGAAAGAAAGAAAGAAAGAAAGAAAGAAAGAAAGAAAGAAAGAAAGAAAGAAAGAAAGAAAAAAAAAAAAAAACACGGTCACATGACTGAACAATCTGTATCTGTGTTATTATTTTATGCCATACATGATAGTCCACACATCAATAATACACAGTACACAACAATAAATAATCTCTCATTCCATACTTCCCTCGAATACCACACGTGTATCAGCATCTTTCCTCTCCTGAAACTTGCATTACTTTTAATGTTACTAATATGAAAACAGTTTTCGTTATTTTAATGTTTGGGTAATTATGTTGAGTGTATAAGAGTTATCTTCTTCTAGGTGAGAGCAAGAGCACAAGGCAAACTGTTTACAGCCATGGACATATTTCCATATTCTTATGTGATACTTATTCCAAAACTTCTTGAAAACTTAAAGAAAAATACGCTTATTGAACATGAGCAATTTAAGGTGAGTTCTCCTTCTTTCTTAATATTTCCCTTTTCTTTCTTTTTGTAATGAATTGATTAAGGCATACTTGTACATACAATTCATCCTGAATTATTTATTTTTGTAATGGTGCAAAATCTTGTGATAGAATAACATCAGTACTTCTCAAAAATTATTCTCGAAAAGACATTCCATTCATGTTTATTAACATGGTTTTGAAATGTTTCTTTCATATTGAATTCTTTGTATTGATACACTGTGTTCAGAGTTTAAAGTTCTTGTAATAAATATGTAATTTAGGAAAGAAGCTCAAAATGAAAAATAATTATAGGGGGTAAATTTCTGTAGAGCCAAAAATTGTGTTAAGTTTCTTTCTTAAAATAATGATTAATAATTGAATAATAATTGATCAATAATTGAACAAAAATTGATTTCAAATGATTAATAAAATGTTTATTGTTTTCAGGGTGCGCTTTATGTTCTACTTGGGCGTAAACAAAACCCTGTGGTTGCCAGACATGATTGGTATGTCTTGAATTCTCTGTGGCCAGCCATTGTCAGAGCCCATCCTTCAGAGAAAATTTCTGTTATTAGATTGCTCGAGAACTTGGTGGATGTTGTGCATAAGCAATTTCCAACTATTACTATCAATTTAGAGGTGAGTTACAAAATGTTGCCTCACACTTTGTGTTTTTCTATTTCTGTATTTCTTGTGAAAAATTTAAGAAATTGTTTCTTTTAGACAATCATGTATTAAGAATTATTGTATATATCATCTCACAATAAGATCTGAGTAGATTGCTTAGGTTTGTGATTGTAATACACTATTTCAAAGCCTTGAAATTGGGTAATGTAGTCAATCCGTGGTCATAGTAGAGGCTTTGTGGGTTTTCAAATTTCCCTCTTGATGTAATGTGTTAAAAATACATTGATTCACATTTAAAAGCATTCAGCATAATCTTAATGTTTTTTTTGATGAACAAATTGGCACTGTGGTTTGGCAGCCAACGTATTTACATCTAATCTCAAGATAAGTTTTGACTGAACATGAACTGTCAACATCACTATCCTGACAAAAATATTACAAATATAGTGATGAGTGTGATAATAATAATAATAATAATAATAATAATAATAATAATAATAATAATAATAATAATAATAATAATAATAATGATAATGATGATGATGATGATGATGATGATGATGATGATGATGATGATGATGATGATGATGATGAAATGTTACATTCCATTAAAGGTTTTTATAATTATCTGATTTATCAGATTCCAGATTCTTGTGAGGCAGCTGGACAAGATCTTTGGGCATCTGTACCAAGAGAAAGCCATGACTTTGCCACGAAGGATTTAATTGAGGAGGGGAAAAAACAGTTGATTCTGAAAAATCAGTACAATTTGGAGCAGTACTTGTCACTTCTTCACTCTTTGAATAACGCCATTGAAAATGAAAACTTGTAAGAGAAATATCATTAACTGAGTGTATGCCAGTTAGTGTACATGCTTATACTAATTTGTCAATTTTTTATAGACATTGGAGATTCCATTCAATGGCTCTGAGTTTCTTGAGAGATTTGGTCCACCCAGATGTTGCCTATCCTCCTGCAGTTGTCAAGTGTTTCCTAAACACATTAGTGAATGATTCCATTGAACTGCGAAAGGTAAATGTATATATAACACAAGGTTGAATAAATAGGTTGTGTGCCCTAATGTACGAGAGCTCCACTTTCAACATTTGAGAGATCTGTTCTTGGCTTCTTGTTTAATAAAAAAAATTGAAAGCTCTCTGTGTGTCTCTCTCTGTCTCGCTCTCTGTCTGTCTGTCTCTCTCTGTCTCTCTCTGTCTCTCTCTGTCTCTCTCTGTCTCTCTCTGTCTCTCTCTCTCTCTCTGTCTCTCTCTGTCTCTCTCTGTCTCTCTCTCTCTCTGTCTCTCTCTCTCTGTCTCTCTCTGTCTGTCTCTCTCTCTGTCTCTCTCTCTCTCTAGCTGAAGTATTCATAGCAATTGGGATGTTAGACCGCAGCAAAGGCCCTGATCTGATGGAATCCTATCTGTGTTTTTGAAAAATTGCATTGCCAATATAATGCCTATGTTACATATACTGTTTAATACATCTCTTCATGAAGGATTTTTTCCAACTATCTGGAAAAAGAGCCCTACCTTCACCTCCTCTGTGGGCAACATTGGCCTGTGTGCAATTGCACAGGGATTCCTTTTTCTTTTTAATATCATTTGTATCCTATGATGGGCTAAGCCCGATAAATGTATAGTATATGTTTAAAAAAAAGAAATCCTGTTTATTGAAGCAACTGTTTGTGGATGTTAGTTTTATAAGTCCTTGTAAGTTTGAGTAATGTTTTATTAAATTTTTCTTCCAGATTGCAATTCGAAGTGTTATTTTCCTTTTGAAGCAACAGAAACGTACTCAGAAAGTTGTTAAAGTGAATCCGTACAATGTTGATGGGGTCATAGTGGAAAAGCCCAGCAATATATGCCCAGGAGATAGACCTGACAATCAGTGGGTTCAATACAGAACACCACAATTGCCTAATAGTGCAGAAGAATGGAACAAACCACGCTATGCCCATAGACCATATCATGGATTCTATGCTTGGCCAGAGTAAGATATTCAATTCCAGGCAACCTTTTACTTTCATGTGTATTAATGTGTGGGTGCTTGGTTGTGGTGTATGCATGTGTGTGTATATATAATAGAAAAGGTTATGTGATGCTGCAAATTAACTTTTTATTTAAAAATTCATTAATTATTGAGATAACAATGCAAAAATGTTTGGAGTTTCCTGGTACAGAAAATGTATTGATTTTTATCAAAATCTCTCTCACTCTCTCTTCATATGTGATTAACACTAATGCCTAAACTGTATACAGTAAATGCCTCGAAATCCCCAATCAATCAAACTAATCGTGTGGTTTTGTGCATTGGAAAATGAGATTTTAATTTGTGGGGACAGTTTGCATGAAGCCTGTAAGTAAGGCCTAGTAAGATATTTTCAAAACGTTGTCAAAAATGCTTCCAAATTTTCTCTCTCAATTTTTGTCTAGAATGGAGCTAAATCCATTTATAAGTACAGTATAGGTGCAATTTTCATTTAAACATATGATTTTTTGAAAAATGCAAATCTCCAATTTTTTTTTATCCTTCCCTTCAACTACATTATTTAAGCTGGAGATTTTTTCTTTAAACTTAGATCTTTAAATATGTAATTTTTTGAAAATGTGATTAGCGTTTGTGTACTTTTAAGTAAAATTGTAACAATTTTCCAAACATTTGTGGCCAATATTTTCTCAAAAATAGCTAAAAAAATTACTTTAAAGTTTTGCTAGAATATGGCAAGTGCACTTTAAAGTATGAATCAAAGTCCTATTTTCCTTAGTCTAAAATTTTTGAAAATTGCAAATTTGTTGTGAATCTATACTCTACCTTCAAAATTGAAGCAAAAAAATTATTTCTTAACACCATCTATTCCTCCCATCAAATCGTTTCATGTACACTTTTTTCAAAACGTTATTAGTTTTCTTTTGTATTTTATTTAAATCATGATATATTTCCAAAAATACCTGAACATGTTTTCTGAAAGACAGCTCCAAATTGTTTCTTTAAACTTTTTGCATGGGTAGAGCACAATGATCTAACTAATCTCAGTGTCATTTTAATTAAAACTTTTTAATGTTAAAAAGTTACCCATGTATAATTTTCTGGATCTTGTCATGTGTTAATATTTGTATTGTAGGTGTGTTTTATAATTTGATTAATTTATGAAACAACTAGTTAACTTTTAACTTTTTGTAAAGATACATTAAAGTATAGATATGTTATAGAAGTGCTATTTTTATTGAAACTTTCGAGTTTTGAAGACTAATTGTATATTTTGAACTTGTTGGACTTCTATTTGGCAAGAAGAGTTTTTCAAGAGATGGCCAAAGTATTCATATGATACAAGTTGCAATGTAATTTTTTTTTAACAATTGCAAATATTACAAGAATGTATGCACTGAAAATGCCTACAACTGGTTTTATTGTCTTTCAAAGAAACAAAAAAATTGGTAAAAGTGGTAACGTAAAGAGCGGTGCATGTATGTTTGCAACTTAATTTACAATTTAATATGTATTTTTCCTTAATATTGTTAGTTTATTAGAAATTTGTGTCCCAAAAGTCATGCAATAGCTCTCAAATGTTAACCATTGGGTAAAAATTTTGAAATGATAAATGTGAAATGAATACTACACCATTCTTGAGATCCCAGTGAAAACTTGTTTGTTTGTTTGAAGGTTTTATTTTGATTTGTATTGTTTTGTTCTTTGAAATTATGGGAAGAATATTATCGTTGCACAGCAAATAAATCCAAAAATTAGAAATTGCTGAGTTTTCTTGTAACATGAACATGAAATTTGAGATTGAATGTGATAGAGAAATTGCAGTTGGTGTGTTGGGATTAAGGAGTTTTCTGTCAGAATCATTGGTTTAGTAGGACTAGGGGAAATAAGAGTATTATCTAAAAACCTGCCAAGAACCTCATGGACATCCACATGTTTACGCCAGAATTAGAAAACTTATGCAAGGAAAGTAGAGAGTACTACACTATGGGAAACTCCAAAATGTAGATAATGAGCAGTGCAACTGAAATCTAATATCTTAGAATCAGCAGTGATGTATATGCAACTGAGATTGGTTACGCTTTAATTAGTGTATGTTTTTATCATTATGTCTTAATCCTTTGTAATGTTGTCCAGCTGATTTGCAATGTTGAAAAATGTAGTATTGGGAGCTTTTATGTGAGTTTTGGGACCTAGTGGAGTAAATGTCTATTAAAATAGTATGAATTAATGTTTGCAGTGAACTGGAACTTTATGAACAGACATTAGATCCTCCACCTTTGATGGGAGACGCTCTAAATGATAAAGAAAAAGAAGTCAAGGCATTCTTTTCCAAATCACATAACGTAGAGAGACTGATGAATTTCTTAACTCTAGAGGAGAAGAAAGGGAAGGACAAATTCAATGGATACAAATTTTTGATGTTCAAGGTTTGTTATCATCTTCGTATAACACAGAATTTTCCAAAGCTTCTATGAAGTGGAGTACTAGAAAGTGTATGTAAATAGTCGACCATATAGAACATTAAAAATATGCCCAAACAAAATACATGGAAATGCATCATATACACCTTGTGTAAACCATCCAGGAAATCATTATCGTGTTTCTTAGGTACAGTGTTGCCACCCACAAATGACAATAGACTTGTCAAAAGTTATGTTGCACTGATAAAAATTCTCTTTGTTAATCTTAAGTTGAGGAAGGTGTCTAGTGGGATTTGTTGTAACCTGGTGAGGACATGTAACCTCTTCTGACTAAACGCTATATTTTGACCTTTTATTGACCATTGATCAATGCTTACAAATTTTATTTATGAATTTCAGAAGAGTTGATTGGTTGGAACTTTCACATTTGGAATTTTTTGTCCGTTGGTCAGACGCAATGCCTTTTATATCACATGATCGGTTTACTTCATCTGGGGATTAGGTGCTCAAAAAATGGAAATTTTATAACAATGAGGTCAGTTAGGTTTATGAACTGTGTTTTGCATTTCTATTTAATGTAATGTGTACACACAGAAGAAGTTTAAAATTATGTCAATGTCAAGTCCAACTATTCAAAAACATGTTTGGCATAGAAATATAAAAAATATTTACATATTGCATACGGACACCAAATGATGCTGTCATACCTCAATTCCTGGACTTTTTCTGGGAGAGTTGCAATCAATTCTTTGAATATTTGAAAACATGAATCTTTAAAATTTACTAGCCAAAGAGAATATGGGAAACCACCATAAGGTCTAAAAGAGCTAGTAGCAGTCAGAAAAGCTATATTTCCTCAAAACAATAATAGAGGTCGCACAAGGGAGAAAGCAAGATGATGAGAATTCTCATCTGTAGACAACTGGTTTGGGAAAATGAGTCAACGAAAATTCTCAACCGTGTACTGCCAAACCGTGTTAATATTGTTCCTATCCATTAAGAATACAGTATTCAAATATGAAATATCATATATACTATTTAATTATTTTTGATTAATTAATTAAACTTTAAAATAAATTTCCTTAATTTTCCTTTCATTATCACTAGAATATTTTAAAATTAAATGAAGGGAATATCAACATGATTGAGTGCATCTGATCTAATAGATTTCCATTTAAAATGTCAAAAATTTTCTAGAAATATGCTATCACACTTTGTGTTGAGAAGGAGGAAGGTACTGAAAAAAACATACCATTTTGTGAAATATTCCACCAACAAGAGTGGAAAAGTCAATTGTTTCATCAATGGATTGTGCCAGGGTTAAATAAATATTCCATTACTGTCAAATTTGTGTCTAAATGAGTTGTTGAAAAATACGTGCTGATCTGGGTATTACTATATTGGAGACTGGACGCCTCAAGTCTGAATAGACATTTTCTATTTACCTTGACTATTCCACTCGTTAAAAAAACAAACAAAAAACGCAAAACAATTGTGTATACACACAAAACATCTCAATCAAGGCTCTCAAATAGTGTGTTGGTTTTTCTATCTGATTCTTCGTACCGCTTCTCCCTATTGACCAATCATGAATTGTGACTCATCTATCTTAAGAGATGGTAGTCAGTAGTCGATGTCCTATAACCAACACATAATGTACTAGAACATAAACTCTTTGATTCTAACATAGCTTTCAGTTATTTTCAATATATTTTGCATTTTGGAACTCTGTTGAACATAATTTTACTCGTGAACCACTTGTGCTTTGGAAATTCTCAGATAAATCCCTTCCTCGCTTCACGAGTCGGGCATTTATTGACAATTTCCAAAGCACTCGTATTACCTGTGATAATTCTTGCACAACTCACACAGCCTTTAAACAATCGAATCTAATGAATTTGATCTAATTAAAAGCTAATTAAATGTCATTAAATCTAATTAATCTAACAACTTAAATCTAACAAATTTTGCACTCTTTGTTTCGTTCAAAATGGGGTATTTTTGAGTGAGCTTTCTCAAGCAACTTAGTTCTGTAAGATTTCCTCACAGTGATATTTTGCTGATATTTTAGCAGTTGAAAATTGTGAGATGGGCATTGGTAAGCCCTGTGTGAGTCAGTTTTCAAAGCTTTGCAGAGTTGCATACCAACTAATTAAATAGAAAGAATTATTAGATGAATCCTCTTTGCACATAGTTTTAATCGCTAAGAAGATGAAAGAAATTTTGATTGTTTTTATATTAATTAGTAACAATGTTAATTTTTAATACGGTCTTTTTTTGAAGGGTTAGCTGGAATCTTGCAGCTGTTACAAACTTTGCTCAGATGAATCACTTATAAGCGTTTACATTTAATTAAATGGAAATGTTACTGCTAACAATTGAATAATAATAATAATATCTATCTCTCTTTTAGGGACTATTTCGAAATGGAGGATATGAAATGTTCAAGATTTTCATGCCACATTTGGAGGCATTAGTGAGTTCTAAATTGGAAAGTCATCAAAGATGTGCTGCAGAAATAATAGCAGGTTTGTTTCTGAAATTTTAAAAATTCCGTAAATGTTTCTGCTATCTGGTTAACTTAGCCCATGTGGAAGTTAACTTTGTTTGAGATTTAAAAAGAAAATCAAAGAAATTAGACTTCTTAACAATGTTGTTTCAACTGGGGATACCCACATCGCAGGAATTTTTGCCAGTGGTTTGGCTCTTGCAGCCAGTGAGTTTTCCTTCTTAAGTGGCTTGATAGTGAGTTTACCTTCTTAAAATTGGTCTTGAAGTGTTTATTATCAGTACTTTTTCCTTGTAAAACATAATCCGTATCTATGTGTTCGTTGTTGTGGATTCATATTGGTTTTTCATATTTATTATATCATAAGTGATAATTCAATTTGATCAACAATTTAACTAATAATTCTTTTTTATTGTTCATTTTCCAAGTTGCAATAATTTTTTATAACGTCTGTTTTCCAGAAATTTATCCTTAAACCCACCAGTTAATTCAAATTTCTTGATAGTTTGAATTGCTTGTTACAGTAATCTCTAATTATCTGATTTAAACTGGAATTTGGCCGATACAGATATATGAAAATTGGGATCGTTTAATTAATCTCAGAAATAAAAAGGAAACGACATCGGACAGAAAAACTTAACATTATGAATGAAATATTTTTAACACACAAAAGTTACAGAAGCCAGTAAACTGTGAGATTTACATTAAATAAAAACTACAAAATAAATAGTATTTAAAAGTTCATTACAAACATGCATCCTAACAATACAGTATGAATTTTCTTATCCCATTTCACTTTATATTGAAAAGACTGTGTTGCTTTGAAGTATTAACTATTTTGTGTGGCAAGGTCCCCCCATTTCCGAATTTAGACATTTTGTTGTTGTTTTTTTCCTTTTTAATGATAATTGGTTATACTGTGTGTAATTCAGCTTCATATAAATGGGAGTTCTTATGTAATTTGATGAGACACTTGACCCCTTGAATATTTGTTTCAAGGTACTGTTGAAAAAGATAAGTTGAGTGTAAATTTTTGAATTCTGAAAATTGTCAGGACAATGAGATGAAATAAAAGTAACCCCTTGAATTTGAAGATTTTGTAAGTAAAAATGGTATTTATTTCATAAATAATGGTGGAAATAAATTTAATTATAAAGGAAAACTACTTTAATTTAATTAAATTAATTAATTTAATCCAGGAAACCAGAATATGTCAGAAGCAGTAAGAAGGCATTTTATTCATAGATTTGATATATTTGCTCTTGCTGCAACTCACATTTTGTGAATTTGTCTGCTTTAATGATATATTTTTTTGAACAAATGGTGGGGAAGGATGTAGGAATTTCCAGAACCTTATTTTATGTTCTTTTTCCTTCTTGCAATGTTAATTGGGAGAGTAGGATTTACTACACCCTAGACTTAATTTAATATGATTTATATTAATTAATAATTTTCATTGTTTGAAATTTCCACATTAAAAATGTTAAATTCACATTGTATCACGTTAGAAACTTCAGTAGTAGATCTACAGAACCCCAGCTGCACAGGAAGGAAAAATTGTATTAATAAGAATGTCATTGGTGAATTTGTCACAATTTTTTTTTGTTTATGTTTGTGAACACCATGTTTTATGTATTCACATGTGTTTTGTTTTTAAGTTAGTTTTACCTCTATTTTAAGAGATTGTTTTATCTTGAATAACACAGTAAAACATTAAAATACACTGCTTACTGATCACTTAGATGTAATGATGTAATAAGGTGTTGCATATTACTATTTTTTTTAAAAAATTCAATTCTAGGAATTTTGAATACTTTCTGACTTCTCATTGGAGTTCAAATTTTTCTACATTTCACTTGGAACTGTAATTGAAGAAAGGTCAGTGAAATAGCTAGGATCTGCCTAAATGTGGTGATGGCATGAGAGTAGAGACTCATATTTTTTTAAAGTAATTTCTTATTTTTTTAAATAAAACTTTATGGATTATCCTCTTTTAAATTATTCATCTGATAAGAATTATCCATTGGTAGAGTTTACTTTACCAGAGACGTCTTTGACTAGAATAGTACTGGAAGGATCAGGTCTAGTTTGTGTATTCACAGGAGCACAATTCAGGCTGTTAGATCGTGTTATGGAAAAATGTAGCAAAAGTTAAGGAATATATTAACAAAAGATAAAATTATTTTATTAATATATTTGGAATTATGATAAATATATTTTTGTCAGTCTCTTTTCAGAAATTTTAAGTCTCTGTATTGTGAACAAAATTGAATTATTCTATTTTTGTGTAAACAACTTTGTAAGAACGATGAAGTTGAATGTGATATTAATGAAATTTCCTTGTAGGTGCTGTGAGGGGAGCAAAGCATTGGCCTTATGAAATGGTTCGAGATTTGTGGAAATTTCTTACTCCACTAATCCGAAGTGCTCTTGTGAACATGACCGAGGAGACAATTATTGACTGGGGTGTTTGTTTTGCCACTGCATCTGTAAGTGTTATTTTACGTAATTGTTATTTAATCATACTGGAATATGATTTTTCTAAAAGTAAGAGGAGTAAGAAATTTTATACTAATTACAAACAACCATTATAAATAAAAACAACCATTATATATTTCTTTATTTAATTACCAAATTTCACGACAACCATTAAGGCTAAATTTTACATTTATATTATAGATATAACTAATTCGGAATTATTGTTGAATTAAGAATTTTCTTATTCATGAAAAAATTACTCTTTCAGCGCCAGAACAGAATTTACTTTTATAAAACAATTGAGTTAAAGAATCTGCAATAATAACTGTTTATTGGACATAAAAAGGTTTCAGTAGGTTATCCTCAGTACTACAAATAAAGGTGTATTAATAGTAGAGACTGATAAAAATAAAATCAAACTCTTAAATTTACAAATAAATAAATGAATTTTTAGTTTAGTACATGTTGAGGCTGCGAAATATTGCTTAGATAAATTGGGAGAACATTATCAGAAACTACAACGAACATCGCCTTTTCCATCGAAAGTTCTTATCAGACAAGAGTGTTGTGGAAAAGAAACGATACATAATTGACAAGGATTGTTACTTTGCCGAAGGAATCAATGAGTATTGAAGAGATTGTCATGGTTACCCCTGTCCAGACGAAATTAAACATTTTCGTTGCGAATTTCACGTTTTACTGCACGTTAGACTGTCGAAAAGTGCTGGGAATTGCCTGGCAGCGCCCCGAGTCGTTTTGAATGCGCTCAACACATTTCACTTAGGCCACGAAACTGCTCGCGGCTCCTCTGATTTTCATGACAATGCGAGCCCGCTGTGTCTAAGGTGGAAAGAGCTAAGTCATGTATGTATCCATTGGATACATATTTCCTAGAGCTAAGTCATGTATGTATCCAATGGATACATATTTTGGCGTGGCCGCCCAGGAGATGCGATCTTTTGGTGACGTTCGCAACTGACAGGAAGCAGTTGACAGTCGATGTCAAAGAATTTTGTACGAAATAAATGAGTATTTGGTCAACTGGGAAGGAATTTGCGCGGCGGAAGTTTAAAATGAGTGATCTTCTGAAACGCCTTCAAAGAGTAGAGAAATAGCTGTTTGAAGTGTGGCGCCATATTTGAACTAATTTGGCGGTGAATGCCAACAGTACACAAAATATTAAATTGAAGTTGGCATAAACACTGTGGTAGTGGTTCTACTTCGTTTTGTTGTTCGTTTTTGAACTGCTCCCATTCCCTGTAATATTCTTCTACCTGGCTTCTATCTGTCTCATATAATGGTACTTACAAGGGTACTATGGTCATCTTTTTACATCAGAGCTTAATTGTTGTTCATGGTATTAGTGAGTAAATTTTTATTCCTGAGTAAAGAAGTCAATAAATTGAATTGAGTGAATAAGATAATTCTGTTGTGAATAAAATTCGTTTATTTTTTAGTGCCATATATTATCCACTATCAGAAATTATGTAAAAAGGTAAATGTTTCATGTTTTTCAAGACATTTGTGTTGACAGCATATCATCATGCATTATTAATTATTTTATTAATCATGATAATCATGCGGGTGATCTGGGCTGTCCGGGTGAGGCCGCTTTGAAGGCTGTGTTGCCGATGTTTCGACCATCCTGTCGTGGTCTTCCTCAGAGTGCTATGACTTACCACCCGGACAGTCCAGATCACCCACATGACTCTGGCCGCAAAAGCCTACGACTTCATGATAATCATGCATTTTTAATTGTTTTATATGAATAATACTAAATACTTCATGTAGATGAATTCAAAGGAATGCCACCTGTCAGATTGTATACTATAAAATAGTAACTTTCTTGTATACCACTTTCATAGTATAGAGGAAATGTTCTTGGGCTGCGACAAAAATCCCCCCACCCCCCCTATTTTTTTCTTCCCCTAAGTTTGTGCAGTCAGAATCCATGTTGTGTGGGACTTTGATAGCAAAAAATTGATGTGAAGCAAACAATTCAGACAATTTTCTTCAAAACTGACATTTCGTGATCAATTTGGCTGAACTTGAGACCCTGTGAATTTGAAACTGATATTTTGATATTTGAGGGTACATGAAGCCTTAACATTTTCAAAACTTCCTCAAAAACAGATCCAGTTATTTGAATATTGTTTCATGGATAGAGAAAAGGACGCTTATAAAATAACACTGTCTGCATTTTCAAAGATTGGGAAGTTCAAAATTCTTTTGGCGTCTTCCTACAACTACAATATTGATTACAGATATCTTTCCCAATGAAATCTGTTCTTCAATTACAGATCTTTTAAAGTCATGTACAATTTATTTAAATATGAATAGTTTTTCCCATAATTTTGCTTGAAATATAGGCAATTTTAAAATCACGGATTTTATCTAAAACATCTCTAAATTTTTTCTTTAATTTTTATCTCAATATTTCAAATAGAGCAAAGATTATTAATAAAAATAGCGCAGGTCCCCATTTTAATTAACTCTCTGTACTTTCCAAAATTGCAATCAATTAACATCGTAAAACTACGGTATTGATGTTAAGAGATTTTTCATTCTTAATGAAATCTGTCCCGTGTACATTTCTTTGAAAATATTAGTAGTTTTGGCCAAATTTTGAGTTAAAATGTTTTTCAATTGTGACTTATGTTTTTACTATTGAAGCCAGAGATTTTTCTCAGTGTAATCCATTCTTCAATATTGGATCTATAAATCATTTTGTGTACCTACATTGTTGCAAAATATGAGTATTTTTTGCAGCATTTGAGGGAATTTTTTTAAAGTGCATAACTTATTGAACTTAATGTTCATGTATTATATGCTAAGATATAATTTACAGTGAAATGAGCATTTTTAAAGAATATTAAAATGTTTTATTTAATAATGAATATTATTATATTCAATCCATTTACATTTTGTAGTCAATTCAGTTAGGATTTTTAGTGCTTTCTTTGTATAAAAGTTTTTCGAGTGATAGCTGATATGTAAGTCAGAAATTGTCATTTATTGTCATAACCATTACCAGTATTATGATAAAGTATGTGCTGTTATAGCAATACTTGTTTCAAATGTGGCATATTTTTCTGAAGCTATAAAACAGAATGAAACAAAGATAGGTAATAATCAGTTGCTTATTCAGATAAAATTCACAACAGTATTTTATTTATGTCAAAAACAGTTAAAAACTGTAGGATTAGAAGAAACTTTAGTAGAATTAGTTGTATTCATTCTTGAGGCACATTTACTTTCAAACTAAATGGTTAAAACATGTTCGCAACCTGCAGAGCCGACGTGTATCGCCATTAAACCTACCTCGGGACCTCAAGGGTACCGTATGGGGCTCCGATCGTATGTACTTTCACGGTTATGAAGGCCACTTATTCGATATGTTTTGGTCTATGGCAGCATTGTATACGGCTCCGCATCACCTTCAACTTTACGACCTCTCAATACTATTCACCATCCTGAATCAGCGCCAGCACAGGTGCCTATTGCACGAGCCGTATCGAGTGTGTCTTGTCTGGAGCTGGAGAACCGTCTCATAGCCGAAGACAAGATTTTAATCTGTTCGCACGGCGCGAAAGTGTCAGAGTTGGATGGTCCATCCCGGGGAACATTTTTGTACCCAGGTCTCTAATCATCATACTTGCTGAGAACATCTTTATCTAAACCATCTGGTATCCGCTTTTACACTTTGTTTCGGGGGCTTAACTTGAATCTTACTGCCCCTGTGAAACCTCCTAATAGTCTGGTCCCTCCTCGGATACATCTCCGACCCCTAAAAGATTTCAGCTTATCCAACCTCCGCTTATCCTTAATCCTTCAGCTTATCCTAAAACATCAACTTCGCCTATATTACATCTAAAGAGCATCAATAAGTTGAGAGCATCTTATCTAGGCCATACTTCTACACTGACGGCTCTGAAATGGCTGTGGCATGTGCGTGCTACTGTAGAACCGCCACACGTACTGTAGCGTTTTCTCTGCTGAGAGGTTCGCCCTGAAATACATAGAATCGGGTGCTTCACGACGAGTAGTTTATGCAGTGATTCCCGAAGTGCACTCCAGTCACTTTTCACTCTTTCTCCCTCGGATCACTTGACTACAACAATACATTTATTTCACCGTCTTGCCACTATAACGTAGTAGTATGATGGGTATCTGTTCATGTGGGAATCGTATGTGATGAGCTAGCCAACAGTGCCGCGAAAACAGCCATTCGGAAGTCATCTATTGACACTCCTTATATCCCCTCAGCAGACTCTAAAGCGTATTTAAAACGCCCAACACTCAGTGCATGGCAGTGGCAGAACTCACGAAAACCAAGGATTCCATAAAGCCTTGGTCTACATCTCGTGGGTCTAGGTGCGATGAGATAATTCTGACACGTCTTCGGGTCGGTCACTGCCATTGCTCTCACGGACATTCCGCGGTGACCCTCCCCCTACTTGCGATAGTTGCGAAACGACTTACCGTGGGGCATGTTCGCCAGCACTGGTCTAAGATAAGAGATAGCTGCCGAAGGCTTCACCTTTCTAGCTCTCTAGCACAGGTTCTTGGAAATCAATCCGCTTTCCGCAAGTTTTTTAGCTTCTTACGAGAAACTGACATTTACAGCGAGAGATTTAGAGAGAAGAGAATTATGCCAATTATTTGACTTTTAATTGGAGATATTAGTGTTCATTCTAATGACCTCTTTTCTCCCAACTCCCCTTTTTTTTAAATGAACACGTTTATTTTCAGTTTTACTTTCATTACTTTGCACTAAAAACGTTTTAGTCTGGCACTGCTATAGTGCGTATTGCCCTTAAAATAATTTAACACGGGCGCCCATGATATTAGCTGTTGAAGCGCCCTTAAACTTTAATCATCATCATCATCATCATCATCACCCTTACATGGCGTGCTCATATCCGTAGACTATAAACCAGATGTATCTCTCCCCTTAATCATCTTCTGCGTATGCTGAGTGGTACATCGTGAGGAGCTAACAGCATTGGCC